TTTAAATTTGAACGCCTGGGGGATTACAAAAGATATGCGTCATTGGACTAATAATTTCCTCCTCCAATTTGGATCCCCGTAATAAGGTGCAGGAGGGCCATTTCATCCAGCTTTGTGGCATTATCACAACTAAACGAAGGGGGGCCTTATCATCCACCTTTACGGCGTTGCCAACGTTTAGTTGCCCCGTTGCAATCGTGCAAATTAAGACAATATCTTCCCCGCAATGAAAAGAAAGTATAATCAGTAACCCGGCACTGAAAGCAACCTCTCAATTCAAAGGTCTACACAATTGAATTGGCATTTTCCTCATCTAAATTCTACCTCCGGATGGCTTACAAGCGGCTTGTACCTTCCTCCCCCTCAAAAGCCATAAGTCACACGCCTCAGAAGCCCTCGTCCTTGCTTCCTTCCTGCCTTCCTTATCTCCTTCTTTCCTTCGTATGGCAACAATAGAAAGCCACGAAAGCCAAAAGCCAAAGCCATGAAAACCAAAAGCCACAGAAGCCAGATGCCCGAATATTTCATCATTCTAGATCCATTGATAACATTCGAATTCAGAAAATGTGTCAATAATTATTTGATGATTGAATTTTCGTCGTCCATTTGTTTTTACCAAATTGTTTTTCATCAATCGGAGTTTCATCACCCCTAATGATTATTTTGTTTTTCTTTTGATGTATTCTAATTGTAAATCGTTATATTGCAGATTTCAAATTTGCAATCTCACAACGATTATTCCCTGAATCTATTCGATATGATGCCCAACATGGAAGCCGCCTTCTGCATTTGGACACATGGCATTCCGGCAACTCACGTCTATGACATCTATCCCACACAACAATCATATGTATCGAATTGCATCATATTCGTAATCTCCTCCATATAATTCAGGAGATTATGCATTTCGATGATACGGTCTATCCATATTTGAGTCCGCCCCTCTTAGACCGAAGCCTACGGGTCCGAGCACTGGTAGATCATGCAACCGACGATCTTATATCCGTAGCACACATCGAAGCAATTGCACAATATTCACCGAGGTTTGCTAAAGACAAAAGCAAAGGCGCGCAGCCTATTCTGTCTAATCCAGCGGACGATCCGCAATATTGAGATTATTGAGAGTCGATTGCTCAGCGGTAGCAGCAGCGGCTACAATACAACAATGTAGAAAACAGCAATAACAACAATGACAACGATAGAAATAGCAGCGGCTCAATAATTACAACAATAAAGCACCAAAAATCACATGTTTAGTCTCTATAACCCTTAGCTTTTATTCAATTTCGGAAGGTTGCATACACAAAATTGAAAGAGGATAGAAAAATAATAACAACAATTATAACAGCACGAACAACAACAAAAAACCATCAATATTAACACTATAACAACACCAAACAACATAAAAAAGCACGACGCAAAATAGAATTAAATAAAAAATCAATTCGACCGAAAATTCGACAAAAGCATCTATATCCTAAGATTAAAAATATAAGTTCAAATAATATAATATATATAAATTAAATTCAAAAATTCATAAATTAATTTGCTAAGATTTTTACGATAAATACCATAAAATCCTTATCAAATCGAATTATTTAAATAATATAATTAATATAAATAAAAATTATATATATAATATATATTATAATTAAAAATCAAATTTAAAATATAAAAAAATCAATTTTCCTTCAATATATTATTTAATAAATATATATTCAAAATATTAAATTAAATATAATATTCAATATATGTTTTAATAATTATTAAATTTATATTAATTTATAATATAATTATTATATAAAAAAATTCATCAAAAAAATATCGAATCCAAAATCCAAAATTATCCTAATTCGTCCCCATAATATAAAATATGTAGATTAAATAATTGCCAAGTTTCGAAATATTTCATATAATTTAATATTATTTATATAAAGCTTAAGCTAGATTTCCTTTATAACTAAATCCTAATTAGAAATAATTCCAGAAATTGGCATAATCAAATGTCCGCTATCCTCCATTCCTTTCGGATATTATTTAGATTCATCCCGACCTTTTTATTTCGGGGGGATCAATCGAATTTAATCTATATTAAACAGATTAAATTCCATTAATATTTATTAAATATCAAGTCAATATATATATATATATATTATATATATATTATTCTATATTAAATAATTAATTCCAAATGTATATATTTCAGAGTAAATATATTTAACATAATATAAATAATGTGTACAGATAGAGATATTTAATGTTAATCCTGTTTCCAATCTCCTCCTTCTTCCCAATTCGTAGATTCCTGTTTTCCAGTCCTGTTCCCCAGTTCCTGCTCACCTGGCGCCTCGTGCCTAGTTCCTGCTCCTCACTTTCTGCTTGGCAGGTTTTAACGCTGTTCTTGGTTTGTTTCCACGTCCCTCGTCGCGTGCCAGGCCCAAGTCATGACGATGCATGTCCACCTCCAGTCAGTGTTATGACCCCTCTACGTGTGCAAAAAGAATGTGAATAAACGAATTTACATATATAATTATCCGATGCTCAAGTACATCAAATATATGAATATTATATGAATAATGATGCATAAACATATTCAGAATGATTGAGCTTCAATTTTGGTTGCGCGAAATTGGTGCACATGAAGCTGAGATGTTGAGATGTTGGTTCACTCGGGTCATTCCTTCAAGAGAACCTTGGTGCTTCCATGCTGAAATTTGTAAAACGATGTCTCACGTAGAATCATGATGGTGGAACTCCTGTCTCCAACCTAGAAGCAATGGCCTCCAACCTAAGAGCAATGGCCTCCACCCTAGTAGCGATTGCCTCCTACCTAATAGCACTGGCCTCCAACCTAAGAGCAAATCATTGGGTTCGGGCCAATTCAACTTCCTTCCCCCTGTCATGTGTACCAGGTGGTGAGCTCGAAAACTGGCACGAAGGCAACTGTCAAGCGTGGCAGAAAGGCGTGAACCAGCTAAAAGAATTGCTGAACTTAAATGCCAGGGACACGACCTGAGCGATTGTTCGTTCGATGTTGCGAGGTAGAGTAGGAGAGGGGGCCTCCGCATGCCGATGGGTGGTGAACGAAGGGCCGAGGTTCAAGCTTCTTTCCGAACTTTTCTCTCACCTGTGCAAACAAAGGCCGCTGCTCAAGAGTAGGAGACACCCCAATTTCACGAAAAAAAAACGCTACACCTGAAAGCCTCTGTGACAAGAGTCACATGACGAATCTGGCCCATCGGAGCCTGTACATCTCAGAAGCCTCCTGCGAAGTTCACTCTCATATCTGGCACTAAAATCGCATCTCTAGACTCTAGACTCGTGATAATTGCTCCAAGTCCATAGGCCTGTCAGATGCTGCATCCAGACTTCCCACGAAAGTGCCACCGCGAGCATTCCTGGCAAGATTGTGAATAGTGAATAGAGGCAAAGGTGGGGGCACGCAGGCGTTGGCACGGGCACTAGTTAGAAAAGCACAGAAAACAACTATCTTGCCGCCTTGCCTGTGCAGCACGATTTCTTCAGTTGTGGGTTCACTATCCTCCGTGTCGGGAGGGATGCGCACAACTGCTCGAACTTCCAAGTCAACGGTAAGGTCAGAGAGGACCACCTGAAACAGAGATGCAAAGCAAGCCATACTCCTCTAGTCTCAACCGAGGCTCACGTTCACTGCTCATGTTCACCAGCATCCAACATTTCCGGCCCCTCCAATCTCAACATGATTCCTTGAAGTTACTAATAGCCTCTAGCTACTAATAGCGATGTCCTTGTTACTAGTAGACTTCAAAAGCCGAGATTGCGTTTCAGCTCAGCGGCTGCGCTCCAGTGCAAACGACCAGCATGCCCATCTGGCCCCCATTCTGCCACATGTTCAAGCTTCTGGCCAGCCTTATCAATAAAGCAAAACACTGCAAAATACAAAAGGATTCTGTTTGTGAATACAACAAATATCAACAAATTTATCCTGCTACTGCTACTGTTGAAGAGAACGGGATCTTGCAGCCAGCAAGCAGAGAATTGCAGCTGACACCTTTCTGCCTCACCATTGCCTCAGATCAGCTACAACTAAAAGTTTGTCTGTGTAAAATCTGTCAGAATAATGCTATACTGCAGTATAGCAGTACATAAATCCAATGCAACCTTCTCCAGCCAAGCAGATGTGAGTGATGATTTGCCGAAAACAAGAGGCGTCAAAAGGGTGAACCTTCAAACAAAGGCAGCTGTCAATGCGCTGTCAATGCGCCTCGCTTGGCTTGCCTCTGCATTTTGGCAAAGGTCTTGGCCAGTTCAGTATCTTTCCTGCAAATCCCCGCAAGACATGGAGCGCCATGGACACAAACCCCCGCAAGAACTTTCAGAGACTCAAAGAGGAGTCTGGTGCTTTCGGGTCTGCAGTCATTGGTGGTCCAAAACAAATTTGTCTGTGCCTCGAGAAGTCCGCTCTGGACCCTACTTCAGGAACTTCCTGACCTTCACAGTCGAAGGTGTTCAGAGCTTCTACGCTGTCCTTTCAATGTTCAAAATAAGAGTAGCGGTAGCACCGCCGACCTGCTATCATTGAGAATCTGCCGTCATTGTACGACATAAGATGTCATAAGGATGTCATAAGATGTTGGCAGGAATCAACATGTTATGAATTGTTATGCAGATTTATGAACATGATATAGCTATGGTGAGCTATGGTAACATGTCATAAGTCCACAGCTCATATTTATGATTTGTTTGTTTATCCCAGCCTGCTGCAAGGCGTTCATTTCCTGAAGCCCAGCGCTTGGCCAGGACAGGATCAAGTTTCCTGAGCAGAAAAAAAAACACCTCATAAGCGGGTCCAACGGGACTTCAACGTCTGAGGGACGTCCAACTCACATCTGTGCAGGTTTTTTGTGCAAGTGAAAGTTGCGTGGATTTGTCGGCGACGGAGATCACATCCGGAATGTCACAGACGTAATTATCATCCATTCGCTCCTCAGCGACGTCAGAACGATCTGCCAAGATGCGCGCGCGATGCCCGCGGAAGAACGTCCTGCTGCTTTGACCATCGCTTGGCCAGAACAGGATCCAACTTGACACTCTTGTCCTCAGGCTCAGTCTGGCGCACTAGGCAACGCTGTGAATTGGTCAAGCCATGTTTCTGCTATTGAACCGATTTCGTCGTTCACGACACCTTTTCCAGCTTGCAACTTCTCCTGGCCATGAGAGAGATGCCTCTTCGACGCAAAGCCTGGAAACCCTATCTGCTTGCGACGCAAAGCGTGTCAGTGGATCCCATCGCTGTGCTAGGACGGGGTCAAGCTGCGTCTTGTGGTTGGCTTGGGAGCCGATTTCTGCCACATCCTCGTCGCCTCGCTCGAGCTTTTCCTGCGAGGCGTTGATGGCAAAAGGCCTGGCTTCCCCGGTTCTGGGCAAGTCAGAACAAGTTTGAAGTCGAATTTGGTACTCCTTCTGGCGAGCAAACCTTGCAGCCAGCGCCGGGTCCATGAGCGGGCCTGGACTGCCACCTAGAAAGAATTTTGTTTTGAAAGAGACTGCTTCAAAAGTCGAGTCTGTCTATCTCGCTCGGTGTGGGTGTCTGTTTTGGCTGGGCGGGTACTAGCAGGGTTTGGTGGGCTTCTTACCGGTCGGTAGATTTAAAGCAAGTTCCAATTTTTTCTAGGCTATCAGGTGAGATAGGAGGTGAGTTTAAAGTGAAGTAGTGGTTGGATGTATGTGTGTCTTGAAACACTATCTAAGCGTTTGAGCCCAAAAATTGTCAGGTGGAAAGGGCAGGTTGGAGCATCACGGCTGGCGCACAAAGTTCTACAGTGAAGCTGCACTTAAGGCCTCGCAGTCCTGAGCAACTGCCATTCTTTGGCAAAGGTTCTTCGCAGCGATTCGTTAACGCATCCCAGCTTTTCTGGGGCAACTGACTCAAATGCAGGGTGAAAGCACGATGACACACAATGACATAACCAGCCATGGTGCAAAAGCTTGGAAAAGGAGCGGCAGTGATGCACGCTCAATCAGATTGCGTTCGGCGAAGTGCAAGTGAAAAGAGGGTGACCTGAAAAAGGAGATCTGGCAACGGGGGCATCGTGTCTGCTGGTGATAAGGCACTGGCGCAATTGACAAAGGTACTGGCCTAGAAAGGGTGCAAACTGGCAGCTCATGATTCTTGCAGCCTTGCAATTCAGACTCAGCTCCCTGCTTTTGCTTGGTCGGGGAATGCTAGGGTCAGTTCCTTTGAGCAGCAAGACACGGTTGCTGTGAAATGCAAATACAAAGTAAGTATAGATAATTTAATATAGTAAATGAATGTGTGTATGTATATATATATATATATTAGATACAGGTCGCAGGTGCCAAACTCAAAATCTGGTGGTCCTTCACAATGCGCCCTTCCTTCTCAATTGCACAAATCACCAGGGTCTCCACACGCCCCTCCTGAGCAATCGCTTCGGCAGTCTAAGCTTTAGAGTAATAAAGGGGAATCAAAAACAGGATCCTTAGTGGTTCGTGTTTCAAGATCGACCTCCTTCATGGCAGCAAACCTGGCAAGTGGTCCAAGGGCAAACGAACAAGCAAGCATGCTGAAGACCAATACGAGAAGGGGCGTGCGGGAAGAATTTTGGGCCGTTCGCTCCTTGAACCACTAATGCCTCACTTGAGTGCCAGCACGAAGCATTATTGCTGCAAACAGAGAAAAAACAAAATGGAGGGTTCCAAGTGTTCCAAACTCCTTTTGAGAGCTGCTCTGAGAGATAAGCAAATACGTCAACACCTTGATGTTGCTGAGGCTGCTGCGCGTTTGGCCGTGTCAACATACACCCGCCTCGCATACCTAGCAGTGAAAGAGCTGTGGAAGCCAAAAGAACAGGTCAAAGCTGGTATCCGCTTGCATTCACTCATGGCATACTGGCGTACTGTACATATGGCCACACACAACCTAGTGGCACTTGAGTACTCCTTGATGTCCTATGTACTGTATTCCGCATGAAAAGAACTGTCATTTTATCTAAAATATCCGCAAGTATGCAGCCAGCATGTGTGTATACATGTGTGTGTAGATGTGTGTAGTGATCTGAACCTGAACCATTCTGCGAAGAACTTGGTCTATGGAAATGGTGGGTTGTGCAGTTCCAGCCTCTTTCCTCTCGCATTGATTTTGACCAAGTTTTGGCCTGGTCGCAACCAACCATCGAAGGGTAGATGTTGTTAAATTGGCGCTAGAGAAATGCCGGCCTCTGGTGTAGGATTTCAAAAACTCCTCAATCTTGATCTGTACCTGAGCCATCCGGTAATCTGAGCCCAAGTCCCCCTGCCTTGTTACTCGCCCGACCTGCAGCCTCCGAAAGGCTAATGCTTTCTTCTCCTGAGTCAATGGCCGCCTGTCTCGACTGTCAGAGACTAAGCCTGAGGCCGACGCTGCAGGATCCTGGCCACCCAGATCCTCTTCGGAGGAATCAGACTCCTCCTCTGCATCCTCCTCCTTCTTGCCTCAAACGGGCTATCCTCCACGTCCGGTTTTTGCGCGCCGGCGTACCGGGGGCGTCAACGCGGGTGTGGAGGGGCCATCCTGCCTCGTCTTCTCCTGGCCGAGAACCCGCCATTGGATCCCCGAGTGCGTCTTCTCAGCGAAAAAGCTCCGCGCTCCTTCGTTTCTGCTGCTCCTTCTTCTTCTGCATTTTCTCTTTCACCCTTGCGAAGATTTCATTGCCAAGCTTTCATGTATGACTGGATGCATATCCGAAACAAAAGAGATCGCATTCAAACATAGGATGCATAGGTTCTGGGTGGCCTCTGGACTTTCTCCTCCTCCCGCTTGGCCCGCTGCTCTTCCTCTGAAGTGGTGCACTTCTTAGCTCAAGGAAGAACAAAAGGATTCTCACTCCCTCTCTCTCTCCCCGTGCCAAGCCTTTATTATGTAACAGAATTGCCAATCTGAGGTGAATCTGCACGAAAACTGGCCAGTGTCTCCGACTTTTTCTGTCTGCCCCGCCCGACTTTTCATGGAACTTGATCTTTTCCTTCTCGTCACGACTTGGAAGCGCGATCTCGCGTCGCACGGCAAGCTTCGCTGCACCGCTTGGCGCAGCGCAGACCGGCGTGTAAGGCTACGCACTGCACGCCGTAAACATGTGGAGTGGTTCCACTCATCTTTGGAGTGGTTACAACTCAGAGTGGTCTTTCCATTCAACACAGACCTGCCAAAAAGCAAGGACGCTACTAGGGGCTCCTGGCCTTACTACTAGTAACAAGAAGCTACGAACGGAGCTCCTGGCATCGCTACGAACGGAGCGATCGGGACGCTACGAACGGGACGATCACCTTCGCCGGGCCGAAGAATCCGTTTGCTTCGTGTCCCGCCTTGGGCCATTGTCGCGTGTCCGACCCCGTCCTGGAAGCCGTTTTTTTTGGCATCGACACAAAGCATCGGCAAAACCCAGGGCATCGACCTTCGAAGGGCTGCTGATCTTCGTGTCAAAAAACGATTTTTCCGGGCACATGTGTCGTACATCGAACTCGCTTGAACAACTTATATATGTGTCGTACATGTTCGTTTGATGTTGGACTCTGGAGCCCCAGTCTTGCAGAGTGCATGCTTGCCACCATTGCCCGAGAAGTCCACCACGCCGGAGCAGTCGCTATCCTTCTCCTTGAGAAAGGCGATGGAGGCGCGCTGCATCTCTAATCGTTCAATTGGCTGGATGGTGGTCATGGCCAGCTGGCTCTGAGGCTCTGGCACACTTTGATTTAGCTTTTTGAAGGCTCGCCTCTGTGGCAGAATTTGATGTGGTATTGGAAGCTCATTCAGGAATTCAAGCAAAGGACATGAAAGGGCCTGAAATTGATGGTAGTTGATGCAGGCCACCTCGCACTCCCTCTTCCTTGCTCGACCCACAGGACTGCAATCCAAAGAGTTGAATTTTTCAGCCAGGTCTGAGGTCTTTGCCAACCCACAGCGTGAGGTAGTATGGACAGCAGCAAAAGCTGCCAGCACTTGGCCATGGGGGAAAGGAAGGAAACCCTTGCGAAGGAAGATCTTCAATGCCATGGTCTAAACTCTAGTGTATTGGCCAGCACTTGTCTGTTACCTTACTGATTGTGATTTTACCATTTGTACAAACTGGCATTTGATTTTGCGCTACTGGAGCACCACAGCGTGCAGTATACCTCGTATCCATGTTTTCCGGGCGGCAATTCTGAATGAGCAGAGCTTGAGATGTGAGCAAAAGATTGCAGGCTCATCAAAATAATTCTGGACAAACATACATGGTGACTTGAACGTGACAGTACTGCGTCCTGCCTCAACATCCACTCTCTCAAGGAGTTCAATGTCATTGGCCACTCGAATCCTGACAAACTTCGTGGCTTGAGAGCCCAGCATGCCCAGCTGCTGCAATTTCAAGTTGTGCGATCCAGCTATTAAGAAAGAAAAATCCATCCTACGGCGCGTTCACACGTTCCGACTTAAGCCAAGGTTTGACCGGAACCTGCCGTAGCGAGTCTTGAGAGCACGGCTTGAACTCTCCGAGTGAGTCTTTCACCGCAGCTCGGACTTCTGCCTGTCCAAAGCCACAACCAGCCTTCTTCTGGGAAAGGTCTATATAGTATATGTCTATCCCACGCACACTTTTTTAGCCGCACTTTGTGCATATACTGTCTATATAATATGTTGTTATATGTTGTTTATTGTATCCTGTCCTATCCCACTGCACGTACAAGAACGTAGAACGTGCCTGTGGATGACCACACTGGCTGCCCAACACCACACCCACATTACACACCACAGAGAAAGAGTCACCATTCCTCAAAGGGGCAACACCGTACACATTGTGACCAAGGAACTATGCGACGGAGCTAACTTTGTTTACCCTTTACCCTGTCTCCCCCTCACAGTAAGGCCAAAGTAGAAAGGGAACCCGTTTATTCACTGTGTAGACGCGCGGCCTCAGAAACATCTCCAAGCTTGTTAAGAACTTCCGTCATGGTCTCGATATCGCTCTCCATGACCTGCACAAAGGCTGATCAGCCAAAACAAGAGGAAGACCTCCCAGTTTGGCCTCCTGAAAGAAGGAAAATAGACAGATCAAAATCCATTACACCAGCGGGCCTCCCTATTAAAATACACACTCTTCAGTGCCGACACCCCAGCGGTTGTCTGAAGCCCCTGCATCGAAGACTCTCTGCACCAGGGTCTTCTCGACCTGCTCCAGCGTTTGAGAAACCCGCTGTGTCTTTTTCATGCTCTTACAGTTGTACACGTGTCTTGCAACCATGACCCTTTAAATTCCTGCAGATATTGTGAGTGTGCAAGAAAACTTTATCATTGGTCAAACTGTCCAGCTGCTTCAAACACCGCACCACATGATCATCATCCACCACGAAGCGCTTGCTCCTTTGTCAGACGAGCAAAACGAGCAAAACGACTTACAACTTCAAATCATCATCACTTGCTGAGCTCTTCGCTGTTCCAATGCAAAGCGTAACTCATCCGCATCCTCCAGAAACAACAGCCAATCCATTGATGTGATTTCGTGTTTTGCGTTTCCCGCAACATTTCAAGGTGTTTCAAGTTAGGAAAGGAACATAAAGGAACGGATGAGAAACCTCATAAAGGCAGAGACAACCTGCCAGCTACTCGTGCGCTCAAACTGAGACGGCCTCTCCAATGCCTTGAGAGAGCTCAGCAAGGAGGCAGTCCTGGACCAGTTCTCTCCACGGAGTCACAAAGGAGTAGAAACTTGATGCCAGCCCCCACAGTATCTTTCCAGGACAAATGGACCAACGTGCTTCCTGAAACACCTACGGACCCAGGCATCCCGCAGGTTGTGCAGGATCTATTACTCGGGGGCGGCACATTTACAAGGATGTTCAAATGACATGGTAAGTGTTTGGAGGTCTGGACATTTCATGCTACAGCCAGTCTAGCGCTCGAACATATCAACAGGATCTTTTGCTGTGAGGTTGCATAAATATGGCCCTTTGCTTAAAGAAGCTAGTAGTAACAAGTGCCACGCTACTAGTAGCAAGTGCCTTACTAGTAGTAACAAGAAGCTAGTAGGAACATTGCTTGTATGATCTTTCTCTTGCTAAATTTCAGGGGGTCCAGGCCAGCCTCCAAGCCCATCTCATCCAGCCAAGCAGCAGCAGTCTGAGTGCAATCAAAATTCGGCAAAAAAAGGTCTTCTTGCACTTGAAACAAGAAGTATCAAGTCTGTCCAATGTCCTTCCGAAGTGGCTTTCAAGTCATCCTGCAGCTCTGGCCTTCGATTTAGCCCTGTATATCGCCTTTGCATCCTCAAAGGCTGCCTCCAACATCCATACACTACCCAGATTGTGACAAATTGCACAAACACAACAGAACAAAAGCATCAGTGCAAAGTCTGGCAGTAAGCAGCTGCTCAGCTGCAGTGTGCACTGTGATGTGCAAATCTACTCATGGACGATCACAACCACAACCTCAGGGCACGTACCCTCGCCTCTTCCATTCGCTTGTTGCGCTTTCCACTCTTACCAGTGGAAAAGATCTCTGCAGGCTCCTCAAGCATCTTCAAGCGGGAACCGGGGGAACCATCTTCAGACCGGAGGAACGATCTCCCTCTGCCCGGCTCTGCCCTCCTCCAAAGTGTTGCCCAGTGGTTCATTCAGCGAGAGCAAGGGCTCAAATTCCATGCGCTGGCGGAAGTATCACGTGAGTGACAAAACAATCAAATCAAACATGGAGTCCAAATCAGACGATGCCAGGAAGACCACGACAATCTTCATTTTTTTTCCGAGCTTCGTCTCGCTTGGCGGCAGCCTACAGAACATCTGTGGGAGGTGGAAACCGTGGAACCTTGGAGGTCTGGTCAAAGCCAGCTTGGGAAGCTGTTCAAAAACCAAAGAAGCACTAAACAAAACCGAAGAAGCTGCTCTTATTGTAGTCAAATACCAAGCACCCGCAGCTCACCACTTACGAGAAAAAACATCGCTTCCGGTCTGCAGGAAACTCAATGTCCAATAAACGAAGCAACAAAACACCAGCAATACAGATACATTAAGATCAAGTAATTAAGTATATCCCCAGCACTCACAACCACAACCACAGCCCACAGCCACAGCCACAACCATAACCACAACCACAACAACCACAACCGTCACCGTGGTGGGCCACCTCCACCACGACGACGACGACAGCAACCACAACCATGGCCACAACCACAACCACAACCCGTGCTACCACCCTTTGATCTCGCTACAGTACACTTTCCCAAGAAAGAGTGAAGAGCTCAACGCTCCAAGATTCATTAAGACTCATGAAATTCCAAGACTGTCTGACGTTGTCTGGCCTCGGCTTCTGCATCGAACTCCTCGCTACTCTCAGAGCCACCCTGAGCAGCAATTGGGACTTGCTGGTTTCATGAGCTCTATGTTCTCTCATCATAGCTTGCTGCGGTCGACTGCCTGTGCGTGACATGGCCCTACGGCGACCCTGCCTGTGAGCCTCCTTCCACTTGCTGCTTCTCCTGTGGCGCAAACCAAATCCGTTGAGGACACCACAGCTGGTCCAAGGTGCCTCCTCTTGCTGCTCATCCTCCTCGGCTTCTTCTTCTACAACAACTTCCTGCTCCTTCACAAAAACAGACTTCCAGCTGAGAACCAGCAAGAAATGACTCATGAATTTAGAACACTCCAAACAGAAAAAGGCTCCCATCCAATCACTCCACTAAATCTCCTCCTCCATCTGGCTGACTGACGAAACCGCAGACCTTGCACTCCCACACGGCAAGGCTGTGAGATTTTGAGGCACTCAATGCATCCAATGACTTTTGATGCATCATCCGCAAGTGTCGCACGCATTGTCCGCTTCTCCATAGTGTTCTGCATCGTTCTCCTCATGGGAATTCCTGAGAATGTCTGCTTCCTTTTCAGTCTTTATGGACCCATGAGATTTTCCTGAGTCTCAGACTGCGCTTGCACCCTCTTCTTGACAGTCACAGTCGTGTGCCTTCATTTCAAGACAAAACCTCCCTCCGGTCCCGACAGCGATCGCGGCAGAACGGACTCTTCCGCGGGCGTCGCTGCAACCATGGCACCCAGCAACCTCCGGGCGCCATCTTTCTAAAGCCTGTCGGTGCATCACTTAGAGAATTGAACGAAATAGATCATCACCTGTAGACTTTTGGTAATCGCTTTTCATTCCAAACCTGATCAATGGATGGTCCAATGAGCATCTTCCCGCCTTCTGCTCGGCCGCTTCTTCTTCATCTTCATCTGATCGACCTGACCGAGGCGCTCAAACAGGCTCCGAAGCAGCGCGGTGCTCGAGCTCCACCGCCTCCAAAGGCATTCCCCATGGGAGTGAAGGGCCTTCCTGTGGAGTCCTGGAAGCCAAAAATACATCAACTTAGACAGGGAGCTCTACTGGAAGAAACATTGAGAAGCATAGTCTATCATATTCTTGGTATGTCGGGCGAGTGAACGGAGCCCTCTGAATGACCATGGGAGACCATAAGTATTGTGATTATTTTGTGCAGGAAGCAGATCCAATAGAAAAAGGCACATCGGAAAGGCACGTTACGAGGCAAGTTCCAAGATCCAATATTGATATATATATATATGAGTTATATAAGATTATATAAGATTCTAAGATTATCCCTATAACTTCTTTTCCCTCAAGTTGTGTCCTCGTCCCTCACACTCCGATGTCATGTGAAGTCACTGCGCAGGACAGAAGTGCCACACGGCATCTTCCAGGCCCTATGCGTGGATGATGGTGGATGTCGCGGACTAGACAAACACAGGGCGGGTTTCAAGGTGTTCACCAGCTGCAACCGGTGGAAGCTAACCCTGGTAGCCAGCCATATTTCTGACTGAACTAGATGTGGCTTGCAAGAGGCAGGTCTGTCAGGGAGAAGACATTTTGTGCTGCCAAACATGTTCAAAGTTTGGTTGGTTTTCGTTCTTCGCTTGCGTGGAAGTTGCAAAATCGGAAAGGTCCGAACCAAATGGCTGCCAAGTCTCCCCGCAAAACTGCTGAAAAGCTAGTTATCTCACACACACACACATGGAAAAGCTGCTGAAACTGCTAGGCACTCTGTGCAAACTCTGTGCAACCTGGCGATCCAGATTCCCAGTGCTATCTTTTCAATCCTGCCAGGGAGTTCCCGAGCCTGAGAAGCATTGCTTCATAGGCTGACGGTCTCCACGCCGAGTTTCACCGACAGCTCACATCTTGCAGAGCTTATAGATGCTTGTAGGCATCCCGTGCATAAAATCATAGAGTTGCACCAAATGGCCATCGTGGAATCTCTTCAGTCCGGAGTCTTGAACCAACTGCAAAAACCCGATATGATCCTATATGCATCCCTGTGTATCCCTCTGCATCAGTATATGTCGCATGAGGTCTTGATCAAAACAAGACCCACCTTTTTCACGCTTTGGAAAAACATGTGTCTCTGTGTGACCCACACTGACTCCCACCAGGGCACCTGGGCAACCCTTGCACGAAACCATGCGAGCGGTTCAAAACCATGCGGCGGACTGGCGAGGTCTTCAGGCGCCTCCGAGTGGAGCATTCTTCACTTGCCTACGAGTCGTGTGCGCACTGGTCCAGGGGCCCCAGGGGTCTGTGGTGTCGTTCGTCTTCGTCAAAAAACACACACACACACAATGTCGTTGTTGGTGCACGGCATGGTTTCTGTCAATTCCAAGCAAGTTACTCTGCTACAAAGTACAACGAAACCTGAAACCTGGCAATGGCTGCAAGCAACCCTATACTGAGTCAAAACTCCCGCACCCCCACACCCCTTCCATCCAAAATATGCAGAAAACCATGAGAGTGATCTGGGATTAGGAACAGGCAGAATCATTATACATCGTTCTCTCTGAATACTGCATGTTCCACGACCAAAGGACGTCATGCGCCGTACCTAGCCTTTGTTCTTTCTTCCACTCCGTCTGGACGGTCCGGTGGCATCTTTGGAGACCTCAAGCAGACGGTGAATCGTCTCCAGGGAGCCCTTCAACCGCCGCCGTTTGTTTGGGCCACCGCGCCTCCACTTGGGCGGTGGATGGCCCCTGCTTTCGGAAGTCTTCCGTGGTGATCGCCCTCGGGTAGAAAAGCAAGACGGCGCGCAAACGGCTTTTACAAACATGGGTGAACTGACAGGTGAGTGTGCGACCCTTGTGGGCCCCGGAGCAAATGCTTGTCCTTCTTCCTCATCTTTTTCCTTTACAGGAATGAATGAAAGAAAATATAAGATATATATAAATATAACAAAAATTTTGCAATATAAGATACATATATATATATGCTATATATATATTATATATATGTTATCATTCGTGCTGTCCATCAAACTGCTCAAACACGTCAGTGGTGCTTGAACTCTGATCGCTCTCTCTTTGGGAGCCATCTGCAGGGCGATGGTGCAGCATTTCCAATGTCAAGACTGCGCTGGACTAAGTGTTTGTGTTGGCATGATCACCGCCTTTCAGGATCAGGAGGAGGCCCAGGATTTGCTGGATCAAAGCCTTTGGGATAGCGAGTCTTTCGCCTTGGCATCCATATGCATCCACCAAACCAAGAAGATCAAGTCAGAATGAAATCCGCAATCTTCTTTCATGCTTTCTCTCTTCTGAATTCTTGAACACGCAAATTGGTCAGCCCCACTTGCGCTTCTTCTTTGGCTTTGTGGCAGCTCCATCGGCCTGTCTCGTTTTTTTGCAGCGCACCCCCACTGCATCAGCGTGGTTGTTCGACTTGCCAACGGCTTCTATCTGTTTCGGTGTTACCTGTTGTTGCTGCTGCTAATTGTAGTAGTGGAGTTCCTTATTACTTGATGCACTTTGCCAGGGTTGTAAATTTGCTTAGGTCACTAGATGATCCAAATGGATGTGTAATGTGTACATCTCTCCGACAGTTTGAGTTGGAAGCCTCTTCATCTCTGTCGCGTCTCCGCTGAGAGAACCTCAAAACACATCAAACACATGACTGTCGACGGTCAACCTTTCAAACCCACACCTTCAAAGAGGTTTACAGCTGTCGCTCCAACGATTTGGGTCTTCCAGATGAGACACATTGCTCCAACCTTGGGAATTGCTTGGGCTTCCAGCTCCTGAAGCATGCGCTACAAGCTTCCCGACAGCACATGTTGCCAAGAGTTGAAGAGCGCAGCCGACTCTCCTCCGGATCAAGATGATCAAAGGAAGGAACCTGGAGTCTTTCAGCATACCTGCAAAAAGGCGCTGAATGACACCCTGACTGATGATGATGATGATGATGATGATGATGATGATGATGATCATCATCATCATCATCATCATCATCATCATCATGGCACATCACCCTAGTGTTTACTCAGAGGTTCCAGTCTTCAAGAAAAATATGCCGCCAGTGCACTCTCTTCCTCGTTCCGGGTCTGTCACCGACAAGGCCTCACAGTCGTGCACTGCAAAGGAATGATCAAAGGAAAGTCCATCGTCTGTCGTCTCAATGCACGTCTCATGCCTGCCTGCACGAGGCCACACAAAGCTTCGTAATCTGATCCATCGATGTTCTCAAGAAAGCTTTGATAGACCTCCAGTCAGGTCATGAGTGAGTGGCCACGACTGGAGTGGCATCGTCTCAAAATGATCACTCTGCTTTTGGGCGCGTTGGGCGGCAGTGGCTCATCCAGGCTTTGAGCGAGTATGAGTAGAATTGAGTAGAAAGAAACCCCATGATCCAAGCTGTGAGATGGGTGTTGATTGTCAAAGCCTTGATGTTGTAGCTATGTTCATTGGTTCACTTTGGAACAACTCATCCTCTCTCAGAGAGGATCCTCGAGAATTATTTGCCTGGCACGCTCGCAAGTAAGAGGATGGGCTTTCTTCTAACAATTTGCTCAAACTGGTTCATGCTTTATTTGGACTTGCTGGCCTAGCTGAAATGTCCTTTCTGCTTCCTTTTCCCCAAGCAAATGAAGTAGGTCCTGAAGAAAACACCACAACTTCTTACACAAAAAACCTCACAAGACCTTACATGGATAAGGGTAATGCAAAGCGACCTTTTAACCCGTGACAACAATGCCACCCTAAGGATTTTGAGTGCTTCCAAACTTGTCGCAAAATCTCAACCTGGAGAATCTGCAGCCCTAAACCCATCGCCTGTAGTGGCAAGTCTATCCGATTGGCGACCTGGCAATGAGTCGACGCCTCTTGAGGGTCAATGTTCCTCACTCCGCACCCTGGCCTGGCCAAGAACTCGCCTGAAGCCCTCCAAGTCAACAGCCTTTCCTTCACCACCTCCACACGACACCCGCGAGGTCCCCACCAAATCCCAGGACCGCGAGGCTCTGAGCCATCGACTCACGGTGAACAAGAACTGCACGTCACCCTCCACAAACCTCACGCGGACTCGAGGCTGTCACGGTCCACGGACTCGAACTCCACTGCGTTTCTTCTCGCGGAAGAAACGAAGTCTGTGAGGCCTTCCAGGCGTTAGCTTAAAGAGCCCGAAGACTTTGCAAAAGCGAGTGAACTCGTAGACCGTCATGAAGCCTGAATGGATCTGAAGGGGACAAGCGGAAGAATGTGCCGACTTCTTGATGTTGAGTTTCTCAAGGAAAAGAAACACATCAAAAGAAAGGAACCAGGAAAACACCCTGTAAGTTGAGAACCGCAGGACGAGCCGTGCGCGAACTCAGCAAAGTAATGCTCTAGTCGTGTCCTGGCAAGCTTGCCACGCCCATGACTAAAAGACTTGGCGTGAGGGAAGGGCTGGGAGTTAAGTTAATTTGAGCGTTAGAATATAAAACATTAGAACCTATTTGACCTCTGTTTTGATTGGCAAAAGAACTGCTTTAGCTCCAAAACAGAGGGTCACTCAGTTTTAGGTAGTATGGAGGGGGCCTTACAAACTCCAGATTCCTACCCTACTCCAATACGCGCGTCAAGGTGGAAAATCAGAGCCTCCACTCCCAGCCCTCTGAGATCTCCCACTTCTCGGCCCGTCTCCTGTCCTCTGGGCACCTCTGTGATTCACTAACTTGGAGATGCATTCGGAGAAGGTGATCCCCTTGGCCACCCAAAGCCCGCGCAACCGGCGCATCGACGCACATGCTCGCCGGGTGAGTCGTACGGACCGAGCGAGCGAGCAGCTTCTCGCGCCTTGTGTTGAGCGATCCAGTGGACCAGGGCCTCCAAGGAAGCAAAGCATGTCTCAGACTTCACACCAAGCGAAATCCCCAGAGGCCGGACCTGGCCCCAATGTGTTTCCAAACACATGGAGGCAAAAACAACTACTGGACTCCACATGTCTCGTTTCATGGGGGTTCTGATGCTTCTGTCCATCACCTGTCTTTTTCGGTGCGGTTGTTTTCGCCTGAAACTGCACCGGGCTGATGGCGTTGCTGCGGCGATTGGCAACACTGACAATGGCAGCAACCTTCCCACACAATGACAAGCTGATTGCAGATCCGTTCTTCTATTTGTGCGTTGTTTAAGATGTGCAAAGAAAATAAAGCACGTTTCGTCGAACACTTATATGGCACCCTCCGTCCAGAGAGCATCTGCTGAATGTAGTCCACAACCTCAAGAAAGGTAATTACTGTATATATATATATACTTGCAAGAAAACGCCACTTCCTGCATGTTCTGCTGGTTTCTTGAGGATGCAACTTCTGCATCCGTCAGGAGCTGGCAGCAAAACAAGGGAAGAAGCTCGCAAGAAGCTCGCAAAACGTCCGAGGAAAGAAGACTCTCGAGAACGGTTTGAGGTGGTACAGTAAAGTCAGTAACAGGGTCATGCCATGCACACCGTGTGCTTGTAGATCTCGGTGCGTCTGAACCATGCAAGGACCTAGGGCGGGGTGACGGCCCAGCGACCCGGTTTTCAATGGCTTTCGAAGCATTCGAGCTGCACTAGAAGCACCAAAGGCCTACCAGAATATCGTTATTCTGAATATATATGTATATATATATAATATAATATATATATATATATGTATAATATATATAATATATATATATGTATAATATATAATATATATATATATGTATAATATATATATACAGTATATATATATATATCGATATTGTTATACTCTCTGTTCTTCTTTGGACAGCACCCTCTTGTTGTCTTTAGGCAGAATCAGGTCTTCTGGACTACGGGAAGATCTTTAGAATAAATCTGCCGCTTGGCATGTTGGATCGAAAATCGCATACTACAAGTTCATTTTCCAAACGCTCCCAACAATCCAAACACCTCAAGAGCGCACCAGAACGCAATTAATTTATCATGTTATTTCTGAGATCCCAGCAGCTGGTAAACTCATCTCCTGGATCCGAACATGCACTCGTCCCTTTTTCATCCACCCATGACGCTAATCGATTCCAGGCTTTTCATCACTCTGGTGCCAGTTCGATCGAGGACCCCCACAGTATCGGCTTCTGAGTCATCCAAGTTCCCGATCCACCTGCTGAATCTGCAAAGGCTGTTATCCGAACCAGTTTTGCTTTAGCTTTGAAAAGGACAAGGCTTAGGGCCTGGGGAGAATCTATTATTGCACTAGATTGACCCTAAAATGAACCTGTGGATCCAAGCTGTTGCTTTTGTTTGTCAATGCCTCTCTTCCAGCAAGCTTTTGCCTTTGAAGGCCGCTCGGACCGTCCTTGGACCAAAAGACAAAAACGCCAGATCAACCCATGTCACACATCCAGGTGATGGGGCGCCAACGCCAGCGGGGTAGTTTGCTGCGCGACGACCTGTGCCGTCTTCACGACCGACGTGGCGGAGCCCCGCAACGACCACGGCGAAGAATCCGTGGTGGAAATGCGTCTGGAAACCTTTGTTACTAGCTTCTTGTTCCCAAGAGCGATGGCCTCCAACCTACTTGTGATGGCCTCCACCTATTAGCGTCCTTGTTACAAGTACTAGTTTTAGAGGTAAAATCATATAAAATCAACGTCTGTGACCTTCGTAGATCGACCCTGTATGCCCAGACCCATGTAACGAAGAGTTACTTGGTGTTACGTGACCTCCCTGCTGTCTTTGTTGGGGGAAGTCTTCCTCATGGTGAGGCTCCGGCTCTGCAGCTTGCAAATGAGGCTCGGGCGATGCGATGCCGATCCTGGCGCCTCTGCTCCAGCGTGGTTTCGGAAGGGATCCTGCTCCAGCGCCAGCACTGTTCCCTTGACTTCCCACGTTCACCGCATTCTATAGATCATTCTACAGTATGGTGCTTTGTGTGCGGAATCCAAGATTCCAAATGATGCTTTATTCTTTTTAAGGGTTGGAACAGTTGCTTGCGTCCAAGCCTTGCCATCCAGGACTGTGTAGGAAGACGATAGTCCTCAGCTTTCCGAAGAACGGCAAGAAACTCAGATGAGAAGCTTTGCGCCAAGACCCTCACACTGGACACTTCTGGCGTCTTTGGTGGTTGCTGTGAGCCACTCTTGGCCTTTGGAATCTGTCGAAGATTCGGCTTGGAGGCCTCACTCGGACCAGTGGTTCTCCGCTCCGGCGATGGAGACGTCCTCGGACTCCTCGTCGACTCGTCCTCTCGTCGCTGGGCACCACGAACGCCAGGCCCATGGACACAAAGGCGGCCCCGTCGTCTCAAGCCAGAGGACTTCAGAACCGAGCAGCCGGGCACTCGCAAGGATCGTGGCCGCACGATGCCCACGTGCTCGGCCTCTGCGAGGCTTAGTGCAGGAGGTGTGGGAATGCGCTTTGAGGTCGATGTTCTGCTCTGAGAAGCAGATGGAGAGGCCTGCAATGAAGATCAATAAGGAAGTCGCCCCTTGCTAGTAGGTCTTCGACCTTGAATATCTTCCCAGCCAGGATGCTTTACTTTCTTACACTACTTACAAGATACAAGACCAAGACATGCCAAGACTACTTTACTTACTGCTCAAGTGCACTGAAACCTGTCAGCAGGCCTTCTCAGTGCTCTTGAGGGAGTCGCACTTTGGCGAGTCGTTCACATCTTGCAGAAGCTCGGGGCTGAAAGCGACAGGCGAGTCGTTCGCTTCTCCTCTGCCTGCTCCATCCATGTTGGCTTCCATCCCGGTGTGCACGGGGATGGTAACAGCTTGCTGCTCTTCCACACATGACTGGAAAAGCTCATCCTCCAAAGGTAGTGAGACATGCACATCTTCTGGTCCAAAGGATGGCGTCTGTGTCCAATCAAACCTCAGCTGCTTGGCACTGCTTGCCACATATAGCTCCAATCTGAGGTTCCAGCCTATCAGAGGTCCAATCGCTGCTCTGGAAGCTCGAGTCCTGACTTTGCAACTTGCAAAGGCAAGCTTCAAGAAAAGCAAGATATTCCATGTATTTCCATGAAAGAGTCCCACAAAGACTGCCAAGCAGCCCTCCACAGAAAGGAACACAGAAACATACAAAAACAAAACCTTTGTACAGACCGTCACTGAGGACCATACAGCCATACAGCTGACTGTTCATAATTCTCTTGTGCGGAACAAATATACAGTACATGTCTCATATCCGAGCGTCATCCAAGTCATCTTGGAAATGCATCCGATGATGCTCTCTCCACTTCAAGCGTCGGGCCACAGATGTGCTAAAGCGTTCTTGGCTCTTCCCATGGCTAATGTCAAAGGTTTCAAAGGTTGCATCAATCTGAAGAGAGTCCAACAACATCCAACAACTACGGGCTTTTCTGTTCAAGCTTTGCCCGCAGAAGTGTCCAACAGTTTTCAGATATAGTGTTTGGATTGACAGATCTGCGAAAAGGTGTGTTGAGATGCAGTCGCTTGAGCTTCTAAACGAGGCTACTAGGCTGTGGCTGAAGGATCAAACTGACCCTCGAGCCAGAGAATTTAAGACAAATTCAATTTGTGAGGGAAGGCCACAACCCAATCTGCTGCTGTATGTGTCCAATCAAATCTTTGTACCCACTCCTTTCTGAAAATAATTACTCAAGAAAGAAAGAAAAATAGTAGGAACAAGTGCATCGCTAGTAGTAACAAGTGCCTTACTGGTAGTAACAAGAAGCTAGTAATTACAATTCTAATTAAATTCTTATGCATCGCTACTAGTAACAAGTGCATCGCTTCTAGTAACAAGTGCCTTACTAGTAGTAACAAGAAGCTATGAGAAACAAGAAGTAAATAGACACAATCACTTCCTTGACCATGGCGGGAGCGCTTCTCGCCTCAGCAGCAAAGCCTCTGTCCTTGATCTGCATTGCCACACGTGCAGCGATCCGCAGCACCTTCCGTGTCAGGCAAGATCTGAATCCGCAGCCATGGCATGAAATGGCACGACTTCGTGTCAAAACACTAGCTCTTGCTGCCAGGGTATGCCAAATGCACAGTTGCGGGTGCAGGACCTGTCCGAGGGTGTCAGAATCCTCCTCATTCTTGGACCAGTACTGGATCGCCTTCAAAAGGCATTTACAGAAATGCCCTTGTTACTAGTAGCGATTGCCCTTGTTACTAGTAGCTTCTTGCTACTAGTAGAAATGCCAGGAGCTACTAGCAGCTTCTTGCTACTAGTGGTAATGCCAGGAGCTACTAGTGGCTTTTTGCTACTAGTAGCTTCTTGCTACAAGTAGTAGTGCCAGGAGCTACTAGTGGCTTCTTGCTACTAGTAGTAAGGTGCCTTGTTACTAGTAGCTTGATTTCAATCAGCGCAAGAGCTGAGACGGGGACTTCGCGCAAGCAGGCCACGGCTTTGTCTGGTTTTTTTTTGCCTTCACGCAGCATGAAGCTCTTCCAAATTGTCGAATTTACCGTGGGTTCAGATGGCACTAAATTGCACTCGCACCCCAAGATGTTTTTTTTCGATGGGGGTCCATTTGAAATCATTTAAACCACCCAACTTGGGGCAACTTGTGCCATCTACTTTAAAACCAGGTCGGCAGTCCTGGCACTCTCCGAGCCCACAGAGCCTGTTGTGGAGACTCACAATGGCTTCTACGGTGGTCTGCTGTGTCCGACCTCGAGCATGCACTGCTCATGCACTGCTCATGCACTGCATCTCTCCAGTTCCTCTCCCACTCTCCCTGTCATGAGTTCAAGCTGAAACCTCTCAGCCAGCTGAAACTCAGCTTCTAGCTGCCGAGGGGCAACTTGGCCAATGCCTTTTCAGTTTGCGCAGAACGTAAAACGCTCTGCATGAGTCCAGTACCCAACCATTTGTTGGGATGTACGCGCTCAGATTGGGAATGCTCTCACGCTCTAGCGGGCTGCAGTCTCTTTGACACCCCACAAATGTCTGTTTGAGACTGCAGTCTAATTATATAAATTATATATTAAAATGTTTGAGACACTGGAAGGTTGACTTCATGGGAAAGCTGCCTGCCAGTATCTCTGCTGGAATTGCTTGTGTTTTTTTTGACACCACGCGGTGCACACGTGCATGACCTTCACCATACCTGCCATGACTCCGACCTGCCTCAACGGCTGCCTCATGTCGGTGCTGTTGCGTATAGAGCTGCGCCAAGGGGAGAAGGACCTGACAAATGGTTATTAAATGTTGTCGATCAACTGTCACATCAAATGGTGACCAAATGGCTGGAGTAGCTTTGACTGGTGTGCAGCATCACAAGACAAGAGGGAAAGAGCAGGGTGCCGAGCGTATTTAGTCCTTTTATTGGTCCATTCTCCGTTGGTTATGGTGCTGAAAAGGGTTCTATCATGTCATGCCTGACTGATAGGCTGCTAAAGGTGGCCTGCGCATCATCAGGGCGCGATGCCAAGTAAGTTTGGAGCACTTCCTCACCTCACTTGGGCCAAACGGAACGTTGCCCAGATCTGATGTTCGCTGTTTAGCGCGTGTACATCTGGGCGACGTACAAACTTTATTCTTCTTCTCCCTGTGAGCTATAGCCGCCTGTCATCAAAAAGAATCACCTATGAACCCTGGCCCGATTCATGCAGCCAAAAGAAGAAGAACCGACCTGCACCAATGCAACTCGAGGGTGGTCAGGGTAGCTTTGGCCTCAGGTGTACTGTACGCCGCATGTTCTGAACTGAGTTGAAGTCCTACACCTACACCTCACGAGACCTTTGGGACCCAAACGGAGCTTCTCCAGGTCTTTCTTGGCAACATCCAGTTTCTGTGCCTCGACACGTCAAAATGGACGCCCAAAACGGACCACGTGGAACGGAGTCCCCTCGGGGCTCGCAAAACTGTAGAACTGACAGGCATGTGGCACGGCTGCACAGGCAACTAGCGTGGCATTATGGCAGCTGTACGGCTGGCCTGCAACAATAGAAGGATCTTGTTGCAGGCAATGTCAACCATTTGTCTGCGGGTGAGCTTATGCTCAAGGCTTTCCTGCCAGCGTCATTGGTGGCGTGGAAAGCAACCAACACAAACAATGAAGAAGAAAGAAGGAAACGCCTCGCGGGCTTGTTTCGGGTTGTGTGAACAATCAGTTCTTATCCAACTATATAAAACATACTATGTAATGCGTTGTGAATCACACTTTCACCTAGTCCCAACATTATTCATCTCTGTCACCTTTCCATTCCATCATTGGCTGGGAAGGGTTTTGATGTTGATGGTGCTGTATCAACATCTCGTTTCTCAACCAAGTGTTCCAAAAACACCGATGTACACTGACTGTGACTGCGTTGCAACTCAGCTTTTCCACCCCTATCATGTTTGTTGGACCCCTTCGTTCCATACATCAAGAAAATGGTCAACACCCCCTGCCCACCTGCCCAGGAAACGTGTTCGGTCTGTCTGCATGGGCTTGTGATGTTGAAACAGGTTCGCACCAAGTAGAACGGGGAATCTATTAGCACCTTGGATGCCACATTGATGCGCTTCAGGCTGTCGAACAAAGACTTGCCCTCCGAACCTTGGCTGAAAAACAATGAGATGATATAGCATTCCAAACATCTGTTCCTTTTTGAGCGGCGCAAAGCCACCACATTGTTGCAGGCCACGGCCAGCACAGTGACATCAATCTGCCACGTGTGTGACATCAATCAAGTGATATGCCAGGTGCGGAGATTGGATGCCATGATAAGCCATGATGTGAACCAAAGTCTTTGGCCTCATGTCCCTGTGTAGGCTTTTGCCGCAGGACTTTGTCGTACCTGGACACTTTGTCGCTCTGGGTGAACGCGGATTTGTCACAGATCTAAAGGCAATGATCAGCTTCGGACAGCTTCGGCAACACATCCGGCAGCGCACAGCTCTTTGGCGTCATCCTCTTTACCAAATCGTTGCAAGACACACCTCGATGTTGTCAAATCGAAACAAGGGCATTGGCCACCCCTGGTCTTCCAGGTTAAATGAACCTAGCAAGCTCCCCACGCTTGTTGCACACGGATTGCCGCTAGCTCTTCATGGTCCTACGAAGAGCTCTGTGCGCGAAACACTGCCCGGCTTAGCTTTAATATTATTGGTATTCCTCGGCCTATTCAGTGCTCCATCTCCATTCAGTCCAGCATAACAAGCATGAAAAAGACTAGGTTGAAAGCTTCTTCTCCTCCAGCAAACCTGCATCTGCCTCTGCCACATCTTCAGCCTGCCACCAAAGAATAATGTGAAGCTGCCAGGGGAGTGGGGTGAAGCTTTGGGAACTTGTTAGTGGGGCCATACTGTACAAGTACAATTCAAACATATCCCGAATTTCACATTTTGATCATTTAGCATGGCTTCATTTCCCGGGGTCGCCAAATCAACACAACACAATTGTACACTCCAAAATTTTGTGGTAAGCTTTTGCTGTAGACTACTATTCAGAAATTGCTTTCAGTCACGGCGAATTATGTCAAAGCATGTCGAAGCACATAATGCGCTTTCTTTCACTGCAGGGCCTCGACCAGCTCCTCGGTGCAAAGCTCTTTGGCTCGAGCCAGATGAGCCTCCCACAGGGTCACTTTCAAGGGGAGAAGCAACATTTGCAGATTATTCTTGTGAGCTGTCTTGTTAACATGCTGTAAGTGAGCAATAAGCAACGACACAGTGAAAAGACGTGAACATACGCTTCTTACATAATAAGAGTAGTTCTCTCTATCTATATATATATATATATGTATAGCTGAGTGAACGGATGTTCACCTAGGAGATTCCTTTGTTCGTTCAAACAACCTCAGCCTCCCGACCTCAGCCTCTTTGAGGCGGCCCTCGTCAATCAAAGCACAAGCTGCATTGAAGCACAACTCGTAGGAAGATTCCAAGGCTTCCTCCGGATTTTCTGAACTTAGATCCGCTGAAAAAAAAGGGAAAGTGCTAAAACAACTGTAGCGCCCTGCTTTTTTGAAGCATACATGTCTAAAACAAGTGTTCGGTCAAGACATCACCGACATACATTTGACAAAGTGCATGAAATAAGCACTAAAGTGGACAGAAAGTGGTTCAAAGGCATCCAATTGAACTAGAATCGCTAGAACCAAGAACCCATGTTGTGCGTTGAAACATAGACATCAGCTTGTTTTTTAATACATCTACTGAATATAATCGAGTCTTACATCGAAGTAGATGCAACACACAAAACTTTTCAGCAACATGAGAAGACCAGCCACTGTAAGGAATCGGAATTGCGAAGCAACCTTCTGTAGACCCCATGTTGACTTGAGGCCAAGGGGGGGGCGAAAGCTAGCGCTCCAGAATGGGAAAGTGGAGGGCAGCGAGGTAGGAAAAAACACGGCGCTCTTTTTGGAGGCAGGGGTGAAGAGTCCTTTATATGTGGCTCTTTGCCCGGATCCTCCTGCGAGAGAAGAGAGACGGAAAGACGAGAGACAGAGAGGAGAGAGAGAGAGAGAGAGAGGAGAGAGAGATGAGAGAGATGAGAAAGAGATGAGAGAGATGAGAGAGATGAGAGAGACAGTGAGACAGTGAGACAGTGAGAGAGTGAGAGTGAGAGTGAGCGAGTGCGGCCGCAAGATACGCAACGCTAACCGCATGCCAAAGAGCGACGACAGGACGGAGTCGAACTTGCGAAGAGGGAGGAGGGAGGAGGGAGGGAGGGAAGATGGGAGGAAGACAAGGAGGAGGAGAGCGGGGGAGGTGGGGAGAGGGGAGGTGGGGAGAGGGGAGGAGAGGAGGGGGTGGGGGGGGGTCTTCGACCTGAAAAATCAGGGGTTAGGATTTGCACCCGGTCGAAAGAAACCTTGCTATCGCAAGAGTAACTCCAGCTAGCTTCGCTAGCTTTCGTGAAAATTGTTTTGTGCAAATCAAATCACGTTCTGTGCTTGAAAAACTTTGGCCTTGTTTTTGGACACGAGAGCCATTGCCTGAGCAGCATGCATGTTCTTGGATTTGCCAATGCTGGGCTTCGGGACGCCTTCCGTGACTGCTCACCAGCGACATGGGCAGCAACGGCGTTCACAAGAAGACCGTTATCCTCGAGGGAAGTCAACTTAGTCAGCTGAATCACCAGTGCATTCGATGCCTTTGTGAAGCCACCCTGGTGTCCTCAGGATCGTCTTTGTGAAGTTGTCCATAGACATCTGCACCTCAGATGAGGCCACTCTTCAGTGTTGCCAGGTGAAAGAATCTACAGTAAGACCCTGGCACGAATCATAGCTCGACAATCTATACTGAATCTGACAGGCATTCGCGACACTCTCACTGCAATGCAAGTGCAAATGTCTTTACGCAGGAGTCGCTAAAGGTATCAAGTCACTGCCCAAGTTGCACATGCCCACTTTAGAATCACCTATGTCCTCTCTTTCCGTTCTTGATGTTTGTTTTAAAGAAGCACATGTCCATAATTCCGCTGGCCTGAGCTTCCAGTCGGGATCTGCGAGCTATTTCCTCGGGATCTTTGCTCTTCCTGCCAGGGTCGTTTTCCCACTCCACTATTCGGGGGCATGTTATGCTTTTCATCGCTGTCAATTGCAATGCAGTCATGCAAGAGCTCACGATTTTCCCAACACTTCCAAAGGCTGTTTAACACACTGCCCCGTTTATAGCTCCTCAAGTCCAAAACATCCAGTGCTTCCTTGAAGCGATTCAATCGATACCTGGGAATTACGATCAGTTGCAGGAATGTTCAATGTGTTTGGGGTCTGGCAAAGTCTTCACAAGTGTTCGGAATGAGTGGAAGCACAAGCTGTAGGCGTGTTCGAAGTCAAGGTCCTGATGCATCAAGCTGGATCAGTTGCAATGAGGTAAGTGTCGTCATGTCGCACCTCGATGTCTTCATGCTTTTTACAGGCCTTCCACGGAGTCGTGGCTTGAGAAATTGTCTCAAGTCTCAAGCATCTTCCAAGAGTTGTCTCAACAAAGACCAAGCTGATGCCTACTGTGCCATCACATCAGAGCTCTGCAAGAAAAATTAAGGATGGTTTTGTTCGCACCATCTAATCTAGCGCCTTCAAGACGTTGTCCCACTGCGAGACATTGACCAGCGTGAAAATGTAGCTCCTGGGTCGAACCAAAAGGACTAGGGCCTAGGGACCGACTTCACCTGTCTGCGGCCAGGTCGGCTGTCCTGACGACCAGTGGATGTTCTGGCTTTGCTTTATAAGCCTCGAGCGCAACGAAGGACGATCCCGGTGCTTGGCTCCAGGAAAGTACAACATGGGGTATTTGGAGAAGGATGTCGTCGTGCTTGCAACATATATTATATACACACTAAATTTATCTCATTTAATGCTATCTAAATTAAAAAAGAAAACTTGAGGCCGAGGGTTGGTGATGAAAGCTAGCAGGGCAGGGGTGAAGCGGGGGATATCCGACCGAGAAAGGGGTCCAAATCCTGCCGCCACAGGAACAGTCAGCCCCCTGCCAGCGGACATACACACGTCCCAGAGACGTCCCAGGGAGGAGTTGAACCCGGGGGGGGTGGGGGCCCACCTTACATATGAAGTTTTCATGCGATGCAGCGCTCTCGAGGATTCCAGCCCCTCACTTGCTCAAGCAAGAACAACTCCAGCTAGCTGGTGCTAGCTTTCGTGACAAATGAACAAAAGAACTTCGCGGTCGCGCTGCACTGATCCCTGACATGTACCATTACTCTTCATTACTCGGCTTGTGTCAAAACTTCCGAGTCGAAAGACCATAGCCTTGTCACACCAACAAGGAGTGTAGATGGATCAAAATGGACCGACATATCGTTTGCAAATGCCATCCAGCGCCGTGATGCGAACAGCAATGCGAACAGTGAGCCGTGGCGCGAGTCGTCGCGAGTCGTGACCTTCGTCAACCTCACCTGAGTCACCAGTGGCAGTGCTTGTTCAAATTCCTCCGCATCGAAGTGCCGCTTCACGGCAGCCATCGTAGCCTTGCACGATGGCATAACACACCACATGCAGGCGTACATCGTCTTCCAAGAGATGCACTGCTGGCTGTAGAAATATGTCAACAAGTTCAGCGAAGCTGTGAAGCTCTTTTGATCAAACATGATCAAACTATCCCATCCAAGCAGTCCTGGAACACTTGATCATCCTCCGGCATGGCAGCTGCACTGCCTGCGATCTTGCAGAAGGTCAGTCTAAAGAAGAAAGAACCAACACAAAAGGTAGCAGCCGGTAGCAGCTGTCTCGTGTGTTTCCTTTTATCAAAGAACTTTAACCATGCAAGAAGGTCAAATTGTCACACTGTCGAAAAACATCATATGAATCTGGAGCGTCGCTCTCAGGCAATATCGTCCATGCTTCTCTCACTACCTATGAACGGTGCTAAAACTAAACGATGTGGCTGAATGCTACATTGTAGCCTTGCAAGGCAGGCAGCCACACACGCGCGGCTGCGCGGTGTGTCTCAGGCTCGGTCCAGCTGCGGTAAAAAAGAGTGTGACAAGAATCAAGACATTGGTCAAGAAATATCAAGAATGCACGTAACAAATTCTACCTAATCTATCTAAAGAAATGCCTTTTTCCGTCAGTCAACGCTGTCCCAAAGCATGGATGTCCTGAACAAGGTGAGTCAACTTGTGATGCTTCCCAAGCATTCCCTGCACGGCCAACCAAAGCCAATCTAGTGCCACGTCCTGCGTTGAGCACGCACAAGGGAGGCTGGCAGCGTCACAATGCCATCCCATTCCTCACGGATGTTGCGGATTCTGAGCGCACCAAATTGAAATGAACATCTTTCAAGGTCTGAGACATTCACCTCCCAAGCCACCGATACGTCACCATCTGGATGAATCGATTCGACCTCTGGATGACACCAGTCGTGGGTCAAAGCATTGCTTTTTTGTAGCAGTGTGGTAGAGCTGGATCTCTGTTTGTTGGATCTTCTTGGGCAATCAAGATACAAAAAGGAAGCCAGGTCGCATGGGGCACATGATACACCGTGCTTAGTTCCCAAGTGCCAAGCTCTTGCCATGAAATACCTCAGTGTAGCGAGCGATCAAAGTTGGGTCTCGCAACCCGACTCCACTCGACCGTCGCCCACCTCTGGTCAACCCGACCTCTTCGTCTCCGACGCTTGCTGAGTATGACACTCTTTGGTCGGTTCCCAAAAGGCCTCCACCATATCTCCAATGTCCTAGGCAGTTTCTTGCTCCTAGTAGTAATGCCCTTGTTACTAGTGGCGATGCCCTTGTTCCTAGTAGCTTCTTGTTACATCTTGTTACTAGTAGCAAGGCCAGGAGCTACTAGTAGCGTCCTTGCTCCCAGTAGCGTTGCCCGTTGTTCCTAGTAGCGTCTTGTTCCACCAAATCTCCAATTTCCTTGGGCGTTTGCTCTGGTGGACCTCGCTTGCTCTGCTTGCTCTCCTTCAACTCCGGAGCGATCTGTTCCACCGACCGCTCCGCCGGCCCGTTGGCTCAGGCCCGTACCAGCTGGCAGAAAGGATCTTCTGGCCATGCCTGAACAAAGTAATAGACCCAAACCGTCAGCCATTGTCAACCACTGAAGCCGCAAGCCTCTCCTCTCACTAGAAGCCTGTCCTCTTTAACTTTGTTTGCTGGTTTGGCTAGGCTTTCAATTCTGCGTTGGTCCTCCAATGGCGGCGCGTCCACCATCACAGCTGGAGCTGGTGCAATCCTGCCAGTCAAAAATGACACAAGAACAAAAGGCATCGATCGATGCCCTTTCCGTGAGACCCTGAGGCTTGAACATGGGAGGTGGAGCACCAAATCCGCAGATCGGACCTTGCATCTGAGTTTATGAAGAGTTCAGTCCAGATTGCTTCACCACCTGTGAAAGCTCAGGCAAGCCTGCCAAGCGTTTCCTGCCAAGTTGCCTGGATTGTGGGAAGGTGGAACTGGACAGGTGGATGGAGCTGATAAGGATTGACTCGTCAATGTCCGAGCCATCCTCTCCCCAAGACCTTGACGTGGAGTGTTTCCTAGTTTATTTTGCCTTCTTTGCACATTTGTGTATCTTCTACGTATGCTCTCTGCTTGCACTGAATGCTCGGCTTGTGTGCAGAGGTCACAATGCACACTATATAATTAGAGTGGATGATGTTTCAAATGCTGAGCAACCGTCTCTGGGTAAACTTGGAGCTCGACAACTGCCACTTTGGGCTTTGTGAGGGGCTTGAGCGGCTTGCGTCTCTTCCTGGACATGCAAGTTGTCCTGTCCATTCTCGGCAGCCCGCTTCACAGACAGGCAAAGCATGTGAAGCAGGCCCTGCTCCGGGCCAGAAACCTTGCGCAACACAAACGTTCCATCGACATCGGTCGACTCGGATGAGCGGACCTCCAAATGTTGCCGATGTGGCAAAATGGCTGCACCTTGTTCATCCACCAAGGGCATTGAAGCCTGCGGTGGGTAGGGAGACACCAAATCTCTGGACAGACTGAGTGTTCGTTTGGCTGGGTGCCTCGCATCCTCTCAGATGAATAGTTGCCCCAGCTGCTCGATTAAGCGGCACCATTACCTGGACTCACCAGGAAGATCATCTGAAATCCATATTAGTTCCTCTTCAAAACTCGAGATCACGGCTGTGGGCATCTTCCTGCGTTTCACTCTTCTCAGTTCATGTCTTCAAGACGACCACGTCTCAGTCCTCGTCGCCGTGGGGACCGCCTTCGCACATCGCCTCGGTCCCCACCGCACTCCGGACGAACCGCGCGACCTTGTTCGTCTCTCCAAGGCTGGCACCCGAAGCGCCAAAGCTCCAAGTGGGAGTCCTGAACACGTGGAAGATGGAGCTTGGTGGTGACTTGAAAACAGCAATTGATGCTGCAATCCCCAAGCATCTTGCAAGATTGACCGGAGGATGGCCAGTATGCTCCTGCCAGTGAAAACTCAAGGGCAACAAAGCCTTTGTTCATTGCAACACCGCCCTCTCTCGCTCCTCAGAAAGCCACGGCCTGACATGTTGAAGAATGAACCAGGGCAAGGCGATTGGGTGAGGCATATCAGTTCTGTCAATTTAGTAGCCTAAGTCTCTGCATCAGCTGTTGCTGAAGTGAAGAACCGGCCATCACTAGAGAACCTCATGCTACACTTGAGAAGGCTTGTTGCAAAGTTCTGTCTGAATGCATACTCCACATGCTACAAGGCGATGTATGCATATATAAACAGAAAAGCCTTCCTGTCAAGCTGCTCAGGAATGCACGAGACAAATTATGTGAAACTTCAGAGAAGCCCGCAGCCTTGCGGTAGGAAGTCCGCAAATTCACATCACAACGTCACCACGTGTTGGTTCTGAGACGTTCAAGAAAGTAAACCTTTTCTCCATTGAAAGGTTTAAGAACTTCATGAACCTCGGCCACCAGCAAGAGTTGCCCACATTCTCCAGCACTGCATACGAACCTCATTCGAGGTCGGAGCCCGAAGGCCATCGGCCGACTCGGGTCTCATCCGTGCCGCTTCTGGGCCCTCTTGCCGTACAAGCGTCGTGGTCTCCTGGTCACACCCGTGCTCCAAAGATCTAGCCCAAGGATACCCAAGGAGGCTTCATGAATTCGAGAATGAAGAGAGTATGAAGAGATGTGGCAAAAGGAAGCTGTTGCAAAAGGCCCGCATGAAGTCAAGCCCTGCCTTCAAGCACGGTGTTGCTGTTGCGTGGAGAGGTGGCCTGCACACCGGGGCAGTTCATTTTGGAGAACCGAAGGCGTCTTAATTGGCAGCCTTTGTGTGTTGGCTGTGGTAAATAATTCAGACCTTCCCGGGGTTGCGCTAGGGGAAATAAAAACATGCACAAGCTGCACCATCCATGCGCCTGGCCAGAACGACTGCATTCTCTCCAAGCTCCCAAAGCCTCAGAAGCCAAGAAGGATTTCAACCAAAGGGTATGTTGAACATGTACTCTGCTAGGTCCACAGCTCGCCATTCTCAGATTCTACAGGATGTAGATGTTGCCTACAAGCATCTATTTGGCAGGGCTTTTCTTTCTCCGTAAGTTCTATTGGCGCTGATGCGCTCGAAGACGAGCGGCGAGAGCAAACCAGCATTGCCTCTTTTTGACTCCCCCGAGGAAACGGTGTATCCTTCTTTGGATGACGCGCAATCTTTGGCACGTCAAATCCTTCACGTCTTACACAAACCATCGAATCATGAATGCACTTCTTCACTGCTGCACGAAGACTTGGTCCAACGGTGCTCTTCCTCGCTTCGCCTCTGCGGACTTTGCCGTCGCCTCGACCTCGCCTTCAGGTGCTCTGCTGAATCTCACGCACCGATGCGATCACCACATCCGCACCACCAACCAAAAGAGTCAATTCCTCTCCATCGATTGCCAACACCTGACCATCTTGTCCTGAGTGCTCTCCTGCAATGAGTTTCACCAGCTCACCAACCGCAGGTACTTTGACCGGAGCGGGTTCGGGATGAGATTCCATTGCAGCCGCAGCATCCACTTCTTTGCTCTGCCTTTGCCCTTCAATCTTCTGGGCGAGCCAGCCAGGGCGGAGACAACGAACAGGCACAGGACCCAACTCTGGTAATGCTTTCCCCAACTCCCTCCGCACCTGAAGCATCTTTGGGCTCTCATCACCATCTCCAGATATCCACTGTGTTTCCAACTCAGACTCCTGAAGCGCTGCTTCGATTTCACTGTCAGCTGTCACTCCCAATTTCTTCACCCGTTTACACCCCAAAATCCAGGAGCTATCGAGCCAACCTTCTGCGTTGGCGGAGATCTTTTCATGGAAAAAGCTATCTCTTTTCAGGTTCTCGTCGCTGAAGTAGTATTCGATCTGCCGCCGAAGGGCCACAGCTGTCTCTTCCTCCGAGAGTTGAACGTCCGATGCTTCACGAGGACGTTTGGGCCGACGCTTGGGCCGATGCTTCACGATGGCCCTTGGTCGATGCTTCTTTGCTAAAGCTACTATCTTTTTTTCTTCTTCGTTCGAAGCTTCTTCTTCTTCTCTATCCTGGTGGTGTTCACCATCTTGCTCCTCAGGAGCTTCTTCGATCCTCTGTGGCTGTCGCTCTTCTTGCTCATCAGGCTCTCCATCCTCAGCTGGTGCATCCTCACATGCTTCGCTTCCATCTACGTCAAGGAAGTAAGGATCTTCCGTGGCGTCGTGTTCTTCGAAAACCGAGGCAACAACATCATCGTACACAGTCGAAACACTCATGCTTGAGACCTTCTGCAGCGAATGAGGCACAAAAAGGACGCGAAACACGCTGAAATCGGAAACCATGAGCTAAACTTGGCAAATGGTCGCACAACCATCAGGCGACAGGTACTAGCGACAGGTACTACATCCATGTTGAACGCACCTCGTGATTCGACTTCAGTTGAGATTCAAACCAGCCTGTAGGATGAGCATGCCTTTGCCATGCGTGCACACCTGGTTGATGAATGAAAGTCATTGGAGGAGATTGTTCCCCAAGGCTTCCCTCCATCCAAGATGTTTTTCAGCGATAATATGTTTATCACAAGAAAAGCAAACGGTCGAGGGGTCACCTGTGAACGGTGGAGCTGGGGGTGTGATTAGTGTTGGAGAGTTTTCCTGTGTCATCCTGTGTCATGAGAGTTGCCCGGTATAGGTCTCTCCCAGGCGCCTGCCAGCTACCGCATGGTTCGTAGTGCGTCATTTATATACATTAAAATAAACATGTTACATGTTGCTTCGGAACACTGGTTTGGCCTACAAAGAACTTAAAAACTGTGGCCCCAAAGTGCCCAATCGCTACCAAGTTCAGTTCATTGACCTACAGTATGTGTTTCAACTACAGTATATAAGTGATCTTACAGTGCACATAAGGCAGTGACTGACTCATGTTTTATTCAATAGGTTGGAACCCGTGTCTGCAGTATCATGCACCGGGAAGAGCAATTGACCCCGCCACAGCCACACATGCCTGCAATGCCAATCATACAACCACTCATACAACCATATAACTCTGACTGTGTCGGCCAGTTCTCTGTTGCTAGCAAAGTTCTGGGGCATAGTCTTGATCACACACTTAGGATAGGGTGTACTGAACTGAAAGCGGTGCCACACGCCGGCCTAGGTTACCAATTCCTAAGAGTACAGGTAAGGAAACCTGAAAAGGAAGTGGAGGTCCATCAAGTTCAGCGTGGCCATCAACTCTAAAGGAACCGTCGAACGACCGAGCGACAGAGTGACGTCGTCCGAAACCAAAGCCCTATGCGTGACTGCCGAGAGCAAACCGGTGCAAAGGCTGGATTTCTTGCTTTAGGTACAAGCAGGGCCCGGAGATTGGAGTAATTATCACAGCAGGTACAGGAAACTGGCCAAGTTTCCCTTCCCACTCTCGCCCACAGCTTCATTGCGTGTGGTAGGACGAGAGTGCCACACGCCCCTGCTGCACAAGGAAAACAACTGTGAAGCTAAAACAATCCGAAAGGATCCCTATGATTCCAAGGGTTACACACACACACATACAGAACATGACCTCAACCCTCAAAACCAAAACTTACCAATAGAATCCAATAGATCTCGTCCATTGACAGTTTTTTACATGTGCCCAAGCCATCTTTGAAGCTTGTTTGGTGAAACATGTTACTTGAATATGAATCATGGAAGCAAGACAAAGCAACAAGGCTGAGGGTGGCGGCCATGCAGAGAGGGGTCCAAAATGACGAGAAAAAGAAACACCTGAGCCGAGTACACAAATCCAAAGACATCTACCGGATGATGTGATGATGCGGATGATCGCTGTAAAAAACACTCTTTCTGACTAGAAGCACGGCACTACCTAGCTACCTCCAGCTTGGCCAGTCCCCATTGCCAGCTAGGCATAGGGATCCAGATCCGTCATCCGGAGAGCTTGGCCCAGCAAGAACACAGAAGATCGCAGTCGACGCTGAAAGTTCTTTGACTGAAGGATTGGCCAGGTTGAAGTATCGAAAGGATACTCACACATCTCAGATTCAAAGGATGCTGCTCCGCGCTGGATGAAGAAATCGGGAACCCTGAGATAGCCAAGGCGAAGCTGAAAAGAAACTTCCCACTGCAAGCGTCCACAGACCGTCTATCCAGTGCCGAAAGAGCGGGCAAAGGCAACCGCGGAAGAATGATCGACGAGGAAGTGTGAGAAATGAGACATATAAAATCTAAAATATATAAAGCGCCTGCCGCAGTTTGACATACAAACAATGCTTGACGGAGTTCCAACACCACATGTGTCAAAGCATTGTTCATATAGAGGCTGGTAAAAAGGAGCTGCGCTTGCCTCTTAAAATGGCGTCCAAACTAAGAGCTGCATATGTCCAATCTGTATGACAGAAGCAAATAACAAGCGCTGCCTTCCTCCTTGCAGGTAAGCGGGGTGTAGGTCCTGAATCCCAAGACCTCGACAGGAATCCCAAGACCTGAATCAATTGATGGCGTAAACATGTGTACTGTAAACAATTAGGCTAAACTGGGAAGATGAGGATGATGTCGCCCCACAGTCAGACTTGGAAACTAAGCCTGGGCTGCAGGTTGGAGGCCAGTAGTGCAAAGAATAGACGTCCTTTGTGTGACTTTAGCAACAAGAACTGTGAGTTGACCCTGCCGTGGCCACAACATCAGTGAATCAACGTCAGAGACGACTGCGGCAGTAAACTCTTTGATGCACGCAGAGTAGTGTCACAGTCTACACCACATGATCTCAACCCCTCAGAAAATGGACTCTAGCTCCAGGATGGATTCAATAATGTCACCGACTCCATGTCTAAATGGCTTGAAGTCATTGTTTGAACATCACATTCGTCCATTTGGCTGCAAGACCTTCAGTATTCGCTGCAAGGGAAGCAGGCAGGCCAATCCTGATAGTCTATGTAAGATAACCCTTGGCATGTCTGACCAGTCTGACTAAGTGCACTTTTGTGAGTCCGACGAGCTGAATCATTGGCAAAGACCGCGCAATTCGCACTGGTCCGATTGTTTGCTAGCAGCTAGTCATCTTCGACTTTAGCACAAGCAAGTCTGACTGCTGATTACAACATGATCACAGTATCAGAACCGCACAAAAAGCAAACACTCGCCAGAGACTTTAAAGCATCGGTTTGTTCGTATCGGCAGTCAAACTTCCAACTGATGTAAATTCGAAGTCCATCACGCATATATACCCCGAGTGGGATAATTCTGGTACCTGCACAATCATGAACAATCCACCTTCGAGATTTTCGAACAACATTGGTGGCCTCATTGCATGTCACTGGCCCAATTCCAGCCGAGCAGCAGATGCGGTCGCAAATGCCGCTCCTCTTTGCTGTGCGTGTTCTTGTTCTTGTCCTCGCTTTCCTCAACACTCTCAAGTTACTCATGTCAGCTCAGCTTTGAAGATCTGTGCTGCAGGCATTGTGAGAACGTAACGCAGGCCTCCGCTCCCATCACGGGACTCGAACAGCGTTCTTCTTCGTTTTTCGGGATCACAGTGGGAGGACAAACCATGACGAACCGCTAAATCTGCGCAAGAAAAGAAGATCAAAGTCCAATTGTTTGGACCAGACTCGTCAGTGCTGTATTGCCACCTTCTGCGCGATTTGGACTCATCCGGAAGAGCCGAAACCTCAAGAACAACTACTTGGAAAAGTCACTGAGTCGTCCGATTCCCCTCGCTTTTGAAGAGGCTGCTGACAAGGCACAGTCTCCAAATGGAAGCTGGAATCTGGTGAACTCCCTTGCGCCTGCGACTCAGGCAGCGGCATGCATTACAGTCTCTGACAAACTCAGTTTGATCAAGTGTCAACATGAAATGAAGTCCTCGGTGGCCCGTGCCAGTGTCTCTTGGATTTTGGAGATTTGTGAGACGGATTTCTCTCTCACCGATCGATTCATTGGATCTCACGTCTACTTCTGTTGCTTTGAAACCGCCTGCAGGCCCTTTTTCAGGCGCTGAAGCTCTTGGGGACTAACTGGACTATCTGCCTCAGGGTGCAGCGTATGGCACTTTAGCTTGCTTTGTCTTCACGTCCATTTTTGGCACATGCTCCTCTCAATTCGAAAAAAAAGGGCTGGGTTGGGCATCCCCGCTGGCGAACTAGTCCTCACCGTTTGCCTTGAAAGCACTCAATAGACGGACGTTTTGATGACTATGTGTATGATTCAGGCCCGTCCGCTTCGTTTGCAAACAAACCCAAATTCGCCTCCACGAAGTCAGTACCTGCGTCGGAAACTCAGGTTTTGGGCTTCGCAACGCCAAAATGAGTCTCAAGGAAGAGTAACAAGGCACCTCCGCTTCACGTTGCTGGGGAGGAGGAGCTCCTCCAATCATGCTCGTCCACATCTCTCACATCAAATTTGTATAAGTATAAGTGCCACACGTTGCATGTCAAATCATGCCCGATGTCCCAAAGAACCCTCCGATCATTCTTTGTCGCACGCGAACGAGAAACGGCCACGGTGCGTTCACGCGTGGCACGGAGATGCTTCACGGCATTCACTCGCCAAGTTCCGCCCCGTCAGCGGCGGACGGGGGCCAAATGGTCGGTCGTCGGTCCTTCCAGGTGAGGCTGTCGTCTCGGCGCGATCGAAGCCGCGAGCGATAGGCCCAAGCAAATCATCCACCATATCCAGGCAGCGATTGAGTCGGCTTGCGATGCTTCTACAGGCAGCGACAGTCCGAGGACTCATCCAAGGCGACTGAGGACTCATCCATCAGCGACGAACTCATCCCTTCTTCCACCTGTCGATGGTCATCCTTCCAAGTCCACCAACTCAGGTGATGGTCTTCTGCTGTCAATTGCAAGGTGGTCTCCAGCACTCGCGGACCCTTGGGTCTCCGAAGAGTCCGGAGACCAAGGCGGAAGCTGCTGATACTCGGTCAGGTGTGTGCCTGGTGCGGAACTTCTCAGGAGCCTCACAGGACGACCCGTGGGTGAGCCAGGGACACAATGCATCAGTTACTAGTGATGCCCTTGTTACTAGTAGCTTCAGCATCAAGTGAGTGTGGATTAGATTGCATCAGAATAGAAAAAAGAACAGTGCCCGCCCCCAGCTTGGGAGTGTCTCTCTCTCTCTCTCTCTTTCTCTTTCTCGGAATGGCCTGCCTAGCCACGTAGTTCAGTCTGCTATGATGTTGCACAGGCCAATCCTTGTTCAACATGTGAGAGACTGAGCTCGTACAGACATCTCGGGCTGCTAAAACCAACTGGCACAAATAGACTGCATATGATTGCTATGATTCTTAAATGTCCCAGGCACATTCCATGCAATATGGTGTACATCCCAACCCTGCTTGGTCAACAAGCGATGCTTCAGCGAGGTCTTCATGTCGTAGCGCTTGGAGCCACCGACAAAATGCAAGGGTCCTTGGAGTCACAGAGCTGGGCAGTGCATGGCTAACTGCCCAGCTAGTGCCTAGCAAAGGTCTACATGAAGAAGTAGCGAATGGAGAGCAAGCAGTTCCAAGCTCCATGGATACCCGCATGCTTGGTCTACATCTGATTTGCCAAGGAAAGGGGTGAGAAACGCCACAAAACATGGTAACCATTCCTAATCATTCCTACACAAAGCCAAGAGGCCATCAATCTCTATAAGCCTCTGCCGTCGCGTTAAGCGAACATCGGCTATGTAGGGTTGTAGCTTCTCCTGCAACCGGAAAAAAAAAGTGAAGACTCGACTCGACGATTCTTCGGAAAACTTGACGATTCTTCTTCCATAAAGAAACGCTAACAAACGCCTCCATTCGATGTTTCACGCCCAACTCTTGAAGAACTCCAGAGACCTGGAAAGAACCGAGTCAACGCGGGTCTTCCAAGGCAAGTGCCGCAAGTCTTCCAAGTCAACGGGGGGAGTTGTTGGGCGATGCCGCGTGTAAATCCCTGCGAATGATGCCCGGCCTGTAAATGCTGTTGTGATGAGCACTTGGGCAGTACTGAAGGGATTTCCTCCAAGCTCTTCACGCCTCGCTGCCGGCGAGTGTCGTAGCAACAAGTTGCATGTCAAACGTGTCGTTGAAAAGTTTGTCCTGCTTGTAAGGCATGTCAAGCTGGAAGTCTTACATCAGTTGCTTGGATATCAACCCCATGCAAATGCTATGGGTTGAAGTTGAATGAAAGCAAGAGCCTTCCAAGAAAGGAGTCAGCCCCTTGGTCTCCAAAATCTCGAGCACGCCAGGTCGCTCTACCCGACATGCCAGATCCACCACCTGTGCCAGATCGGGGTCACTCATCATCCAAACTGCTGAGAAGCTGTGTCATTGGAACTACCAACTAACTATGACAAATGCAGTTATCACCAGCCTGCAGTTGTCGTGCCAATCGTTCATCCAGCGAATCCAGTGCAGAACCAAACGTTGCGAATACGGCTTGCACCGAAGCCACCAAAGTTCTGTCTCGGATTTCACATCGAGATTCATCAAAGATCAGAGCCAGCAATAGCTGGCCATACACCGCTTGAGATGCATAACCTTTCCGAGTCGGAAGATCTGGAACTGCTTCTTCAAAGGCTGCACTCACAAACAGCAGGATGCGGTTGGCCTCAGTGAGCAACAAGCCATTCAAACCAAAAATAATCGGAAAACTTAAAAGTAAAAGTAAAAAAAACTAATCAAAAAAGAAAAACACTTCATGGCTGAGGCACGGACTTCTCCTGTGTCGGCACAGCCAAACTTGGCGGCCAGCTGCGCCAGCGCCTTGGCGCCAGGTACACAAGCAGGCACAAACTTGTGAGAATGATGGTTTTTAGAAGCAAACTAAAGTTCATAAGAGACACAATCGTCAAAGATAATGGTAGAAACACACTGTCTTTCTTCCTAAGCTGAAGCCCAAAAGGCTGCAAGGCGTGGCAAGTCCTTCTTGGCCCGAGCAGTTGGCCCAACCACCTCCAGCAAATTCTGCGCCTGCAAGTGTCCAAAGAAACTGCAGATGAGGTGGGACATTTGACAATTCGAGGATGACAGCAAATTCGCGAAAACAAGCCTGGAGTGGTACAATGTTGAGCCGACCACAAGCTCCAAGGAAGGTCATCACAGCAGCTGAAGCAGCTGTTCCTGCCGATGTCAAAAGCTTCAGCAATACATTAGAATGACTCTTCGATGTTGTTAACAAGCCTGCAGGAGCCCTCTTCTGTCTTGTAAGTTGAGTATTCTGCCTCCATGCAGGCTCTCTTCAAGTGTTGCTCTGTCATTCGCATCTTCCAACTTGGCATCAGGCTTTTGGACGCTTGTTCGAGTCTCCTGAAGTCCACTTCACTAGTAAAAAAGTACAGTTATGATGTACAGTATGTATCAATAGCAATGGGAAAGTAACGAGGTAGGCGTTGAATGGACTCTTCCAGTCGTTCGGCACCTCCAACAACTCCTCCAGTCGTTGTCCCAGAGCCTCGAAGAGCCCTTCCTGCGTCCGAGGCCGAAAGCCGATGCCGACGGGAGTGGATGGTAACCTGCCGACTGGAGGAGTTCGTTGACTTCAACACATGCCAATCGAACATGGCGGAGGTTCAACTGCTTGTAGAGTGCTGCAATTCGCCTTACAAAAAGGATCAATGGCATCACTGCCCGCACACAAGATCGTTATTTGATGTCCTGGTAGCTGACAAGATTAAAAACCAAGTTCGAAGCTCAAGAGAGCTGTGCGTTTCACATCTAGACAGTCGAAAACTCTTGTACTACGTCGCTACGTTCCAGCTTTTTTCTCTTCAGGATCCACACCGCACGTCGCTCAGTCCGAAGTCCCAAACCTCGCTGAGTCGAAATGAAATGAACGTTCCGCTCCGCAGAACCTCTCCCAAAGCTCACATGGGGAACCCCACCTCCTTTTGAAGACGTGGAACTGCCTCAATGAACAAGTCCGGACGCCTGGTGCTGCCAGAACAAGACAACAACTGAAAACAGGAAACCTACTTAGAGTTTACAATGTTTACACATGTTTACGGTTTACACCTTCTGATGATTTCTGATGCGATTTGGTGTATCATTTTGTGATTCACCTACCCGAATTGGCGCGGGAGAATGCTGGGAAGATGAATGCTAGCTGAAATGAAATGCAAATCGACAAACCATGGTGCAAGTTTCTCACCTGTTGTCCGTTCCTTTTCTCATCATGTTGCTTGTACGGTCCTTTTGGGTGTTTCTTACAAGGAATCGCTGTTCCTTGCTCATATCCGGCATGTCCACTTTCTGTGGCTTGACCTGCGTCCCTATCCGTCCCCATCCGTCCCCTTTGGTGCATGCGTTTCACCGTCTGGGGATTTGTTTGCAATCCAAAGTGTGATTACTTCCTCAGTTACTGGGGGTTCCTCGGCCTAACCAGCCCTGGGACTGCCTTTCTCAGTCGATTGGCCTGGGATCATGCTCTCGTAGGCCTCTGAGGGCGAAAACCTGGACATCTGCAGGAAAAAAGAGCCTTGAGGTTGAAATGACACATGTAAGTGTCTGCATGCGTCCTTTTATGTGATGGTTTCTCGTGGGTTCTTTGGGGATCTCCCCATTCCAATACACACCTCGAGCATCCTCGAGCAAAAGAAAAGTCTTGCACCTCGAGCAAAGAAAGGAGTTCTCGACCGGCAAGATCATAAATCAATCGATCAGCTCCTGGGCCAAACAGCCAGCCGACTCGTCCGCGAGACGATCTTGGAGTTCATGACTTTCTTTATCCTTAAATGAGCATCAACTTGGGATAAGGACATTCAACACTTAGTTTTGCTATGTCAGTACATTAAGTACAGTGTATATCTACACAATAGATCAAGGGTGAAGTCCAAGGCCTCGTGACCCTACCTAGTGGCGAAAATCACACGGAAAGAAAGCCGCATCGAGGTCGGCACTCCATAGGATGCGCTGTAGAAACTTCTCCTGAATTCTTTACACAGAAAAGCCACACCGTTAGACCCACGGTGCCACTTCAAGATGTTCCACCAACGCCAGAGTGTTTGGTTTAAAAAATCGCCCTCAAAACCCCGCTTGACCGGCTTGAGGCCATGGCTGTAGGCTTGTGCTCTGAAGGCCGCAGGCGAGAGAAATGAATGCAAATGGCAGCCAGCGTGGAAGGGCGCCTCATAAAGTGGCTTCGTTCGCAGTCTTCAGCACAAAGAGTTGCTAAGGCTCTGGCCACTTGTGGTAGTCACGCAGAAGCTGGGTCTGAGTCAAGGCAAATAATTAGCTCAAGTCGACACATGCATCTTGCCTTGCCTCGCATCCTGCAAAATAGGCATCATCGCGAGCTGTCTGTCTGATGGCTGCAAAGGCTTCCCAGGATGCTGCACGTACCTTTGCCATTTCCGTGATGTGTCCCCGAAACACATGGGTGCCACATGACAAACCGTACTGAAATGGTGGCAGGTGACCACAGATTCTTGTCGGTGACACAGTGCGGATGGGCATATTATTTTTACCTAACTCTGCAAATGTTTGTCAAATCATGCCCTCTTCCTCTTCCTCCTCAGACTCTAAGATGCACACAGGGCATTCGTTGCTGCTGGCTTTTGCACCTCGCGACACAATTGCTTTGCACTATTTCTGTTGTATCATGAGGTAGGCAACTGCTCCTGCACCTCCTCGCAAACAGCCTGTCATACTATCAGAGCTGAAAGCGCAGGAACCGAATGAAACAAACGCGGCAGCAGGACACGAATGGCGTCGGCGTGTCAACCTTGGCACACGGGCAGAACCAAAGGAAAGAGGATCAGTTCGGCTACCCTGCTTGGCACTGTCTATCCGACAATCTGTTACTCAACGAAACAGAGTCTCTTCAAAAAAAGATTGTACATAAGGTGAAACGCTGGCTGGCTCAACAAGCTGGGATTCCTTACCACTTGGGTAGCTCAATTGCTTTGCTAGCAGGAGACTTAGTTCTACAGCTACAGTTTTACAGTTCTGCCAACATTTCCCTGGCCTGACTGGGATGTTCGTCTAAAAGAACACGTGCCAGTTTCGAAGAAAAGCCGGTTCTTTCTCAGCTGCCTCTCTCAGGAGTACAGCCTGAATTCAAGGAGCTACTGTATCCAAGCGGCGAAGTGAGACCGGCCGAACAATGCTGGAGGTTCCATCGGAACATTGTCCGGGCATGACCGCAATGCTGCTCAAATGACTTGCGTGTGTTGGACAAAGTCTGACAGCTTCTGCCGCACTTGGAGTATGCACATGTATTGTTAATTCTTTTTATGTCAGAACAAGGATTTTAATACCCTGAGCCACTTGGCCGCATCTCAACACAGACCGCTTCCAATCGATGGTTGCAAACACAAAATACGCATGCAGAAATGGCATCTCCTCGAAGGGCAGCCTTTGGACCAAGAGGAGCATGAAAGCCCGGGCTCCGCGGGCTCCGGGTGACCATGTTGGACGGAACGGCACAAATGACCTGACGGCTTAGTCGGGATCAGTCACACTCTCTGGCTTAGCCACTCAACTTTTAAGTCAACTCTCAAGCTACTAGGAACAAGGGCATCGCTACGAGGAACAAGGGCATTACTACTAGGAGCAAATAGCTACTAGGAACAAGAAGCCACTACTCACTCTCACTCTCACTCTCACTCTCTCTCTCTCTCCCTCTCTAAATCTGTCTTGGTGACAAACCTGTCGACTGGGAGTCAAGGAACTTGCTGCAGGTGATTCTGCCTTGGTTCGAAGACTGTATGGAGAACAAGTAAACTCAGTTGGTGATACGAAATGATGTATGGAGTACAGATCGTGGCCTCGCCGTTGCTAGACGGAGATGTGTGCACCTGGCAGAAGGAAACATGGTTTCTTCTTCACCGTGTCATGGCAAGCGCTTCCTTGTTTTTCGCTTAATGGAACCGCTCAAACTGCCAGAGAGGCTACCAAGCCATTCACCACGACCGGAGACATTGCACATGGCCAAGGAAAGCTCCGAGGTGGCGGGGTAAACGTCAAGCGCGAAGCCTCAAAGCACGGAGAACAAGTTGACAAGGCCAAAAATCTGTGTGTTTGCCTTCCGAGGACCCCGCGGTAGGCCAAGGCGCAACTGCCCGGGACATCAAAAGAAAATCACACTGCCCAAAGCTCCAAACTGCAAGAAAATCCTGTTGAGCTCTCCTCTCCTTGCCCTGGAAAAAAAAGGAGAAGAGGTCTCATCTTCACTTGCGAGATGTCATCTGTCCCAAGAGGTTTGGTCATCTGAAAGTTCTGTTCGCCTCCAGAGCGGCGGTCCACTGGCACGGGACTTTGCAGCATACTGACCGGAGCCTCACGTTCCGAGCGACCAGCTGCAACGTGCGTGACGCGACGTGAGGGTTTTTTTTCCTGAAGCTGGAGGCAGCAGTGCATGAAAGGCACTGGAGAAGCTGCTGGGACACTCCAGGAATGAACTGCAACAGAGCCTGCGGAGTGGTCCAACGCTATTGTGAAGAGGATGAAAAAAAACAATATCATTTAATGAATGATGTTGTTTGTTCAAGTCAAAGAGCTCGTGTTGGATCCTCAAGTCAGGCACCTTGCATGCAAGGTTGATCAAGAAACAAAAGGCGCCTCGAACCTTTGCCCTGGGCAACGCATACCTGAGAGTGGAGGAACTGAGCCCGATTGATTTGGGTTGGATCACTCCACTAAGCTGCGTACCCACCCTCCATCAGCACACTCCAGGCAAAGGTCTATAAGAGTCTATAATAGGTTCGATTCAACGTGCCAAAATGTATTGTTAGATACAGGTGCAGGTGAACTGCAACTAGTGGTATTGCGGCATGTCATCTGTCCTGCTGTCAAAGTCTAAATACATACTGCTATATCAGTCTTCATATGCTTGAAAGGCGGGTGGGAACACGATGAGTCTGATGCATTTGCAAGCAACCGACTGTTTATCAGCTGGACAAGCTCAAAAATCGAGTCGGTTCATGGATGTAGCTCTTTTGCAATCTTCCATTGACTAGTTTCTCTAGTTTCTCTGTTCTTATGACAAGTGACCTGAACTTTGCGCATATGATTTGTGCAAAGTTCACCTGTGTGGAGGTGAACACCTTGTGACGTCAGTAAGTTTCTGGGAGACCATGAGTCACTAAAGCAAACCATGCCAGTTCCTCGGGAACATATGTCCATTTACCTATATACATATACATGTATGTTACTGTATGTATGTGCCCTGACAAAGTTCTTCTCTAGTCGGCACATCGGGTTAATCTGAACATGCTGGTCTCATCACCGCCGAGGACCGAGAGCAGCAACAGCAAGGTGCAACAACGAAGGATATGCTGCACGTGTGGCGTGCGCACGCGTCGGAAAGCAAAGAAGCAGGATCTGATTGGGCCATTCCAACATCATGCCAAGCAGCCTTGCCTCCAGCGCTTGAGCTCAAAAGCAACTCCCAAACAAATACAAACAGCAAACCTGCTACTGTTGTCCTCACACGCCGCTGCACTGTTGGTGAAAAGACTGGCACTTTAGCGAAACCGGCCCCCGGAAACTCGTCGACGGTGCCATGGTCGGTCAGCGGGTCAGAGTCGACTACACTCACGCAAAGAATCCAGGACGAAAGATTTGGCACGCGAAGAATCAGTGTGCCATTCCAACACTGCTAAGCACTGCCTGAGGCGCTCAGTCTCCTTAAAGGTGAGTGAAGCCTTTTTTCATCTGGGGTCTATGCCAGTGATATCTGGACAAATAGGATTCAACAAGCATCAAATCGTTTTGCTGTTTACCCACAGCCATGTAGCTGTCAGAAAGGGCTAACTTGTACTTTGGATCATCCCATCGAGGGCCCCTAAAAGCGATGTAGCTGTAGGAACTCCTAGTCCCAAACTGTGTAGCTGGATGTGTGCCGAACGGAATTGATCTTGTCCAACTGCAATGCTGTCTCAAGCAAACCCTTTTCTCATGAAAATCATTCGATCCAGCAACTTCTCAAGCAGAAGCATTTTCTCTCACGCGCGCACTCAGCGCAATCAATCCCGCCCTTTGAACATCACTTCTGGAAGACAAAGAGCGTATCGCACCTGCCAAAAGCATCAAGAACTGGCCCAAACAAAAAGGATGATAAGGATGTTACCATCAAGAACCTGCCTACAAAACCATTTCAAAAATCCAGACTGCATGGGCACACCATTTCAAGATGACTTTGCTCAAGCCCGTGTGACTTCACATACTTACTGGTACTGCGATCTTCAAAAAAGGTGCTTGTGGGAGCATAAGGGGTGCCAATCTCTGCCCTGGGTCATAAGCAGGTGTTACCCGGTGGTCGATGGTGCGGCCGACCGGGTCACCATGGGTCCAAACCGATCTCGGCCGACCGGGTCGGTTCCAACTGCTTTGTAGTTCTGAGAGTTCTGAATGGTTAGGGTTTAGGGGATCTGAATGGACACATTTGAAGAAACACTCAGAAATACCCATCGAAAAATACAAACCCAGTCTCACAGCAGCATGTTTTGCCCAACCCTGGAATTTGCCGTGAGGGCCACTACTATATACGTTGTACCTTCGACTTCACCTGGCAGCGGCCCAACACCATTTGGTGGATAAGCAAGAACAAGCATCCAGCAAACCCAGGTTGGACTCTTGTTTTCACATGATGAAGTTAAGATCCCTGGCTTTTCTATGCAACATAGATCTTGGATCTGAGGCTTGCATAGGGCAAACGTCGCCTTACAGTGTTGTTTTGCAACCCTTGAGAGTGTGCGAGTCGACATCACTCCCGATACACAACACATCAAACCCAATGCAATCCACTGGTTGGATGACCAGTTATACTTGGTCTGCAAGCAAGGCAAGAACAAAACAGCTCCTTCGTTCTTGGTGGTCCCCACTACGGAATAAGGAAAAAGACCAAACCATTACTGTATCCACTTTATAGTCAGTTTCTATGCTCGCTCCATTGCCTTTCTGATCAAAGGCTACTTACAGGGCAGGTCCCTCCCTCCCACTCTCGGCACGTGGAGACTGCCAGCATCTTCGGTGCAGCGGCCAACGCGCCGTGCAGGAACGCTGAGCCCATCGGGGTGGCCTGAGCGACACGGCCATATGGCATGCTGGGTGACCACCTCTGAGCCTGGCTTAGTCCGAGAACAGGAAGAAAAGGCGAACACCCAAATGTATATATACACACACAAGATATATATGTATATATATATATATGCTTTTCAATATAGTGTGTATATACATATATATATATATATCTGCCAAAGCCCCACCTATTGCATGGCATTTCATGCTCCCATTGCAGGGCTTCGATCTTCATGGCCCCATCGTAGGGTTCAATAAGAACCATGATTGCAGCATCGCCAAAAAGAACCTTCCTGCAAAATCTGACGGATGAAAGGTCGGACGGATACCAACGTCCGACATGCCAAGTGACCTGCCCGAGGAGGCCATTGTACCAGACCTCGGTGGCAATCGTGGAAGCAAAGACACCAGTGGCTTTGCACCAATCTCTGCCGGATGGCTTACTTGCGGTTTCCATGCGATGTCTTGGGCTGCCCGCTGCTTGATTCACGTTCCGTTCGATGAGTTATATAGTATGAGCTAGTTAGGTATTCTGTGTGGATAGGCCAATGAGCCCCGCAAAGGATCCGCGCCCGCTTTCCAGCGGCCAAAAGGGCGGGAGCAAGTTGCACTTGCCTGAAAAAGATATGGAAGTATCGGATCATGTGCTTTTCTAAGGGCCCTACCTAACTTCCACTTTCATTGACTTCCCTTGTTTGTCTTCAGAGGCTCTCAGCCAATGCGACCCAGCGACCGTCATGCCGGGCGTTCGGGGGCCAGTCCAACTGGCATTTGGGCCTCGGGACGTTGATTGAAGCAGCGCCAATGAACCAATCCACAAGGGCCAAACAAATCGATGTTCTTGGTCAGTTACGGTAATAGATATGGGGATGAGTCCAAACCTGAAGCCCTAACACCATCTGGGTTGACCTCCCAGCTATTCTATATAGTCGGTTCATATGGCCCACACCCGACACCCATATGATGTCTCAAGATCAAGTCTAAAAAAACGTGCCCTTTCATGCCCAGAATACAGTATGCCATAGGCGTGACGGATCAAACGGCCTCGAGGCCGGCCTCGAGTCCCGGACCTTGCTCTTCAGAGAGGTCATTGCTCCTCCCCTCTTCACCACAAGCTATATATAAAATATATTATATATAGGTTTCTTTGTGGGCGTCAGGAAATAGAACACCGGAAAACAAAACATGACATCCGCTGCAGTCTTCAGACTTCTGCAGTGGTTGTGTTCTTCCAAGGCTCCCAAGATGCCATATTGCTTGCCATCGCTGCGGCCCACGGCCACCATGCCGCAACTGAAAACCATCGGAGCGCTCCACTGCGCAGGGCCGCACCACGGTTGGACACCTCGACGGACTGGACTGGGCCATGGTGGATCGGAGAGGAAGCAAAGCGTCTCTGGAGTATGCACTGGTAGTTCCAGTATGACAAACGTCATAGAGTCACCTCCATTGGGTTCGGGGCATTTGTATGAGGGTCTCCGGGCAGAGTCGGTGGGCGAAAGTTACATATCAAATGGTAGAAACTAAAGGAAGGGTGTCAAGACGTGCGCGCTGAATGGTGAGTTGATGATGTGTGATGTGACGAAAAATCGCGTGCTGCATGTGATGTGAGTGAGTGGAGAAACTTGTTTTGGTGAAGCTCCAATACTTCAGACTTTTCCATGTGATGGCCCATGGATGCCCACGATCTTGTTGCAGGTCTTGTTGTTGATGGCCCATGGCTCACGAAGACACCCTTCTCATCAACAAGACTCCCCTTCGCTAGAAACACACCACAGCTCCATCACCGGTGGAAACGTACCCAATGCATTCGCATGTCCTGACCTGCGGGTCATTCATCTCTGGATTCTTTTGGTCAGTTAAGGCATGCTGCGGTTTCAGACTCGAAAAGAAACGGTTCAAGAAAAGTGTGCCACTCTCTGCCTCTTCGTTGGCTAGACTCGCGGCGAGTGTCGCTGTTCCACCAACTGCTCCTCTTTTGCACCCACAACATCCCACCACGCGCCCGCGCACGCGGTGACCCCAAAACGTCACCCCAACGTGACGCCAAAACGTCGGAGATCACACTGGCGCGTTGGCAACCCGAACCGACTCGTATCATACGACCAAAAGCCCACAAGTGTTTTGAGGGATCTCCTTCCGTCCCACCCCACTGCTATTCTCTTCCTTTGGGGAGTAACCTTCAGTGCTGCTTGTGAGCTGGTGCTCCTTTAGGTTTCAATGTCGGCATTCGCCATCCCCTGCATCCAAACATTCGCGTATGTTGCGTGGTGAAACATGTGAGACCCACTTGCCCTTTGCTCTGCACAGTGGGTTGGATTTTAACCCCTGCCAAAATGCACCCTTGCATTTCCACCATGCCTACTGACTGCATATTATACATGTTTACACTCAGCTTAAATCCAATTTCCCTCGCTGACTGCAGTTAATTTTGTGATTCAACTACCTGATCAACAACTGGGGAAGATTTGCAATGAGCCAGCAAATCTGTCCAAACAAGAGGGCTGTCACATGTTTCACCCAAAGAAGGAGGGACAAAAAAGGAACACCAACTAGTGGATTCCAAAACCGTGTCCCGGCCTCCACCAGTCAGTCCCACTGTCCCGGCCTTCCGCCCTGCGGATCTCCAGACCCTCCATTTCCCCAGCACCCCATCCATCCATCGCTTCGACTTCCAGTCCTCGGAAGATGGACGGCGCGCCGTTTTCGGCTGAGCCCTCCCAAAAACCTCCAAAAAAAAGGCGCCATGAAGGAAGCTCAGCTTTCCGGAGGGGACCGGGTGAACGAGAAAACCCCAAGAGGGAAACAAAAAAGCGTCTCTGACATGACACTTTGATGTGAACATCGGGATCTCTGGAACCAAGCCTCTCCAATGTTCTTCCCCGGTCAGGGCATCAAAGGCGATGACAGAGCCTCTGTTCTCCGAAACGCCCATGAAGGCGCCTGGCCTCAGAGAGGTTCCGAAGGGATTGACGTGTTTGGGCGGTGAGGACCCATGTCTTCCATATCATCGGTTTCAGTACCTAATAGCAATGGCCTCCAACCCAATAGCGATGGCCTCCTTCAACCTAATAGTGATTGCCTCCAACCTAATATATAGCAATATTGAATGTACATGAAATCTGTTGGAGGACACCATGATAGAGTTCATCGCGCTGTTATCCAACGTGTTGGTTTCAAGGCACGTCCGGTTTGCGTCACGGCCAGCGAACACCAATCAAACCAAGTGGCGTCACGACCACCGATTCTCCGTCAAAACCAGAGATATGGCCAATGGCAGGGTAGCTGTTGCAGGGCATGGTGATCTGGGACCAAACTTCCTGGGTTTTGCGGCTCGGCGGATTTGGATCGAAGGACAGGAAAGAAAAGGTGTTTATATAAGATTCTGAGTTGTGCGATCCAGCTCTCTATGGAACTCTTAGGCAACCCCAACTCAAGTGGGGTACACACCGGCGAGGGTCTTGCGCTACCCAAACAGAATGTTGTGGGCCAAATGGGAGTCCTTCAAGAATCACCCAAGAAATTGCACTTTAAAGAATTACATTGCCCGGGTTGCGTGTCCTAAGGTTGTGGCAAATGGCCTCATGTTGTTTGGACGCATTCACCTCAACCATGTCATCTTCAAGGAGGAACTTCGGTGCTCTAGAGAAGTTGACCCGCCCAACACCTGCTTGGGGTCTGTTTGAGTCCCGTGCTTCATGAAACAATCATCCATCGTTGACCATCCTTATCGGTTGATCGGCGCCACAGTGACCATGGCAGCCATCTTTTCCTGCGCCTTCCGTACCCAGTACGGAGAGTATTCCAGGTGATTTGAACTTGTTCGTCATGATCAACGTTAAAAATAAGTCTCAGACCATCAGTTCGCCGTGGATCATTTGCTGAGAAAAAGCACATCCTGACCATAGCGGAAAGTGGCGCGTTTCCACGCTGCCAAGGGGAACACCAATGACGCATTTCGGTGTCCAGGTGCTTCTGCCCACTTCGACCCTGGATGAAACTCCGACCTCTCGACCGCCGACGAGACCGACCAGCAAAAGCACCCAGTTCAAGCGTCGCGGCCGTCGTGGAGGTGAAAGGCCCGGATAATACCGCTGGAATTTTGGCGGCCGGTGCCATTCAGGTAGTTGCCTCACGAACGCGGCCGTGCAGCAAGAATTCCGCAAAGAATGCCACTAGATGCAGCTACCACTGTAGAGCCCACAATTTGAACTTGGCTGAACAAGAGCGGAAAAAGCCCACTGCTCAAATGGATTGTTTGCTGTGTACTTTAGATACCTTTGCCCTTTGATACAAATTGGATCAAATTGGTGTGTCTGCCTCGCAACGGGTTGTAAAGATGTTGGTAGAAGTGGATGAGCCTGTTGTGTAGAAATTGACACCCTCAAAACTACCAGTAGGGGTGCCCCGACCTGGTTGTGCTTCCTCCCATGCTTAAACTCGTGGTACTTGGAGGGGGTCCTCCTGTTCTTGAGGCCATCCGGCTATGAGGTCGGAAAAAAAAAAAGGTGGGTTTGTTTCACCCACATTGTGGAAACCACATCCATCGAAAGAGGGGGTGGTGGATCGTTTCTTTGGGTGTAGTCCCAACTCGGACCAAAGTCCAGACCACAATGGTGGTGAAACGCTCCAGTCATGACCATGAGCGACCAGGATATTCACTTGTTGCTCATTGTTATACATCCATGTTCGTGAAATAGGCTGCTACCCGCGTGTCGTTGCTCTTCTATTCCTACTCGGGGCATATGCAGGGGTAAAAGGGAACATCAAAAATTGGCCAATGGGCCTCTTGCATTGACACAAAACACGATGCTGAAGCGCAGGCTCTATTTTGTATTGCATGGATCAAGACTGGGCAATAGCAAGAACATCGAAAACCAATAAATACTATATCAACATACAAGATAGACGAAGACAAAACCTATTCGCTATCAAAATAGCCATGCTAGATGGACTATGGGGTGGTTCCCTCCGATCGTGACATCGTGGTAATCGGAACAACTGGGAAAGGTTACTTGTCATCTTTCCGAAAGCTGAGCTGCTGCAGGTGTAGACCATATTTTCGCCCAAGCCGGCCCCACCATCCTCAGCCGAGAATTGCTTCAAAATGACATCTTGGAGCCTCCACTGGCACGCAAGTCGATCATCTCACAAACTCGATCAAAGTCGGGTAAAAGACAAGCACAAAACCTGGTGCCCCTCAAAAGTTACTGGTCAGATTGATAGGTTGTGCCTGTGAGAGCTACTATCACACCCGAAAATGTCCAGGTCTAAACCTCACAAAGGGAGGGTCCCGAAAGAATCGCAAGTAGTGTACGAAGCTTGAAGCAAAGCTTCTCCAAAACATCACGTTGCCCAGAAGAAACTCCCAGAATCAGTGACTATATACACCTCCCAACGACGAACGACTCCAATCAAACAGGTCGCGGTGTAGGATTCCCTCGAGTCCGCAGGCAAATTCCTCCATCGAGACTTCGGCAAGAGGGAGGTTTGTTGTTGTTTGGTGGTTGAGGGTTGGTTAAATGAATTCGATCCATCCCACCAGCCTGACCTATTATAGGCGGGCACTACCCCCAAACCTAAGGATGTGGGATCTAGCTGCATCGGGCACTGAACATGGAGACGATGCACATTGTGCTGCATGGGTTGCAGACAAAGGAATAACCGAGAACGCCAAACCTGTGGGAGTTGTAGGGAATGACGGAAGGCTGAACCCTGTTTGGTTACTGATACTGGTTGCTCTGAACAAAATCCCTTTTTGTGGTTGTTGGGTTGGAGCACAAGTTAGGGTCTGTGTTTGGTTTTGATCAAGACCTCCAACCGCTTCCGTTAAATAGGGAATACCACCAGTGGCAGTTTGAGGGAATCCCGCCCGTCAGAGGGAAAAATGGTCCGGGAAAAATGGTCCGCACCTGAACGAGTAAAATCTTTGTATGGCTTGGGCCAACAAAAAGAAATGAACCTTCCCCATCAAGCCCTATTAACCTCAACAACGGTGGACGGGCACCTCCAGATCTCCTCGCCGGTGGTGAGCTTCAGCCGGTAGACGCCGCCGGCAAAGTCCATGAAGACGACGGTACCATCACCAGGGAACCTTGCGACGCCACGTCCCGTCGCTCGGTCTTCGGGTGGCCTCACTGGGGTTTGGTTGGGGTGTGGGGCCGGTTTGGTTGGGGTACAAGGTAGGTGGGTGGATGGGTTTTGAATGATCTTGGTACCCCAACCACCAAATATTTGGAGGTTCTGATTCAAGCTGTATTCATCATTTGCCCAACTTCTCTGAACCGAAAACCGAAAACCAGTATGATGTGTCTACAACTGAACAACTTTTCAGGGAACGGCCTGGCCCTTCGCAGGATTGTGGCATTAAACCTTGGAGTTCCTAACCCGCTGTGGCCTTTCACCAAGTGACACCCCTCAAAGCCAGACGAAAAGAAATTCCGGTGATTCATTTCTCGTCATGAAATTCGTGGGCACACCTTTCCAACATGTTCGGGCATTTGATGGAATTGCTGGGACCGGATTCCAGTCCTCAAGACTCCAAAGCCGTCACTTAGTGAACGAACCCAACACCGGCGCCGTTCGGCGCCCCGCCATCTCTGGGTTGCTTTCTCCAGGGACGGAAGCGCCAAGACACAAGGGTGTGAAGTTCCAAACAGGGCGATCTGGCTCGTAGTCCCACAACTTCTTGCCATCCGACACGTTCAAGGCATAGATCCGCCGGTTGCCGTCATCGGCACCGAACTGCAGGAATTGTGGTCAGTGAATGGTGTCATGACACACTGGATTTGGGTCAATTTAACGGCGCATCTTAGATTCGTGCAGGGGATTTATGACAATGATAATTTATGTGTTAACCACAATGGTGGGTCTATCTACGCAGGTAGCCGGTACAAAGCATTTTGGGAGCTCTGCCCCCCGTAAGCATTCGTATGAGGTTCTATCAGGGGCACCGAGGAGGGTATACTCCAGCACACGAATCTGGGTGCAGGGACTGCTGAAACTAGCGGTTTACTAAACCTGCCATCTTTTCTGGGTTCATCCTGTTCGGCGGCCGGGAGCGGTCGGAAGTCAGCAACTGCTCGTTGATGTCACCCAGTGATCTGCAACGATGATTCGCATGTGAGTCGGTGATGGTTTGTGTCACCTTTTCTCCTTCAAATTCAAAAGAGCTTCCCTAGGAGATGAAGTCCATCACCTTTCACAAGATAGACTGGTTCACTTGGAAGTACTTGGAAGTCAAGCGTTCAAAATCCTGTGCTTGATTAGCAGCAAAGTGCATCCACGGAACAGTTCCACAGAATTCTACGGGGACACCCAAAAACCCGTCCACAACGGGCTGGAACCTTGTAAGCTTTGTGCAAGAGTTATGTTATGTATTTGGTCCCGGATCTAGTTGCTTTTCAAGTGGGGCTTGGAGGTATGGAAAGGGGGCCAAACCTTTGACACAGATCGAGCACCAGGCCATCCCGGTCAGCCCCGCGGGTGGGCCCCGGGACCAGACCCTGCCTCGTAGTTGTGGACTGCACCCATCACAAAGACACCATCCTTGGGGCTTGTCCAACCCAACAACCGCGACAAACCTGTCAAACACCGCGTGAATGGATTCATTAAGATCGCACTACAGCAGTAGTCAGTAGAAAGATTTGCAACCCTAGGTCCACTGGTGAACATCCAGTCGCCAGGGATGTTCACGGATCGTGCACTTTTGATGTATATATCTAGTTCTAATCTGGGCTGGTCAGTTATATACCCGAATTCTGCCTTGACACCCGAAGAAGGATGTCAGCTTGCTTGATCCAACACTAGCACCAGCAAAGTGAAAAAGGTGATGGCAAGGGGCTTTGGTATAGGTCTCTTCAACTTCTGGCAGCATCCTGGAATCCATTTGTCTGATTGAAAGCTACTGTACATCATCAGGAGTGCTGGAAGTTGGGCTAAAACAACACCAGTGCAGTGTAGCAGTGCTACTCAGTAGCAGTGTCACCCCATGTGTCGTTGTTGGAGGCCTTCATTGTCGTTCAGGCCTGACTTGCTATTAGGTCAAGCTGACTTCGAGTCCTTCGGTTCCGAACGAAGAAGACGACCAGCCACCCAGCGAAGACCACCCAGCGACCGGGAACTTGATGAGGTTCTTCAACCATTGTGGATTCTTCTTCCCCCCCCAAAAAGGCAAAATAGTGACATCATGGATGGAGAAAGTAAAGGGTATGTCAAGACCACCTGTAAGAGAAAACTGAAGCAAGAATGACAATCCTCAATACGCAAATGGTATACATGCAAAGCCTTTTCCACCTTTAAACAGCTCCATGAGAGCAAACCTGTTCTTGGTCATCCTCTCAACAACCTATGCACTTTCCACTTTTGTTCCAATGGGTGTTTTCCAGCTCTTCCACTTGGACTACAACCAACCCCATCCTCCGTCCTTGGTTCAGCGGACCGCGGACCCCGTCCACGGATCCGTTGCGCATTTCCCAAGCGTCGTAGGCGTTGGGATATCCGCACTCGCTTCCTGCACTGTCAGCCACAGAGCTCACCCAAAGCTCTTTGCCAGTGAGCCGGTCAACCGCAAAGGCATTCCTTAGGTGGACACAGCTTTTTTAGCCGCTCCGACCACAGTGGAGCTCAGTCCAAACTGAGGACTCCTGTCTTTTGTACCAGTGTCGTGAGGCGGCAGATTCTTCCACCTGTTTGGGGTGACTTCAAACTATGGTTCAAAGTGCCAGTTCGCGGCAAAAGGCCTCTACAGTAATTTAATCCTGTATAGTATACCCTTTGACGGCAAATACAAATGCCAGTAGAAACGCAAACCACCACTTCACTTCAACTGGCAACCCCCGATCTTCTACATATGCTCGCGGTATCAGGGATCAGTTGTTGGGCTCGAGCCCACAACGTTTTTGGATACCATGGGCAGCTTGCAAATTGCAAGTAACTTGGCTATATCTCTATCGACACCCAGCAAAACCTCCTCCAGCCAAGGTGAACCAATTGCTGACACGCGGCACGCGGGGCAACAAACAATTCTTTGCACAAGTCAACTTTATCTTGCCTTTTGCATCCTTTTGCGAAGTTCTCACCTCAGAATCTCACCAAAAGCCTCGCCCCCGCGCTTGCGCGTCCTTCACCGGGCCACCCCGTTCTGGTCGAGCCCAAGAGCAGCTCGCCGCTCAAGCACGGCTCGTTGGTCGATTCCCCGGGCGTCGCGTAGTGCCAAAGCCGTTCACCTCCGAAGGTTGGGAACGTGTTCGCCGGACCGACAGCCTTGGGAACGTGTTCGCCGGAGTTGAACGACGAAAAGGGTATGCCAATCTACATGTACGAATCTGATACCAAATTGACCCCCCTCTGTGATTCCCAAAGGAGCATCATTGGGTTTAGCTTGCTTTGGTTTTCGATACTGTTGGCAAGGTGATAACCGATAACCCAGCGCTGAGGTCACCCCTCTGGTTTGGAGGTCACTATGTCATTGGTTTCTTGCCATTCACATTCATTCAGAATCGAATCTTTGGCACGATGAGCAAAAGAAACGGGTCGGGCCATGCCGTCACCTTCAGTCTCTAAGGGTGGACGCTGCCCGTTTTGGGTCGCCCTTTTGCAACAGTTTGTTGAGCCTGGAAATGAATTTCGGAGGGTGGAGATGCGTGGATTGTAGACATTCTCGACTTTTTGAACCCATTGACCGCCTAGACACATTGACCGGCTCCACATTCGATCCTTGTCACTTGACAGCTTGGTGTGTGACAAACACTGGCGAAGGCCGCCCTCCATTGTGCACCCGCTGCTGGACACAAGGAACCAGCTCCCCATATCAGGAAAAACCATCTACTTTGTGACAACTTCTGCTACCTGTTGTCTTGTCCCCGGACGTTCAGATTTCTGTTGAAGTACCACAGTTGATGCTCAAAAACTAAACCAGCGAAAATGACAAAAAACTAAAAACTTATTACATGCAAGCAGGAAGGCAACCCTCTCCAACTACAGATGGGTTCCAAAGGGGTCGTTGATTGATTTTCGAGGACTGTTCATCATAGCGGTTGGTACCCCTCCGGGCCCTCCGGGGAACAAAGATGGCGACACTCGCCCCATCCTAGCCAATCATCTCAAACACGCTTTGCGCAGTCTCCAACTAAACATTGCAAGCTTGCTCGCACAGTTGCTCCCGTTGCCCCACCCAGTGCCCATCCACGACAAGCCCAAGGAAAAATCCCCAACAGCTGGGCATCAAAGCCCGCCTACTGGGCAGTGGCACCATTGCAAGTTCACCAACAGGCGTCGTGTCTTTGCCGCACAATGCTGTCTTCAGAAGTGAGACCCTTGTCAATGTGCCGCGCAAGCAATACGTGGGCATAGCACACATCATATGTCATATGCTCACATATGTGCAAGCGACACTACAAGCAAGGACCAGCAAGCCTGCTCCAGAACCCGCTCTGGATTCTGCCAGCAAGTCAGCACGACGGCACCGACTGCAGCATTTCAGCCAGACAACATGTCAGGACGTTAGCATGATCCATGCCAGCGTACCAGCATGAAAACATGTCAGCATGACAACACGATTCACGTCAGTGTCAGGGTGGCAACAGGTCAGCGCGTCAGAGGGACACAGCGTATCTGCAAAGTGCTCCGGAACTTGCCCCGGAACACCACCTGAACCTGCTCCGGAAGCTCCGGAACCTCCTCTGCAACCTCCTGCGGGCGGACCCTGCTGCGGCACCTGCTCCGGAACTTGATCTGGAACCTGCTCAAAACCTTCTCCGCAACTTGCCCGGAACCTCCTCCGGAACTTGCCCCGGAACCTGCGCCTGAAATTCCGGAGGCTCTGAACCTGCTACGGAATTTGCTGTGGTACCTGCTCGGATCTGCGAGTCTTTGCGGCTGAAGACCCCAAAGAAAAAGAAACTACACTCCCTCACACACCTTCCGCACCTCGAGAGTTGAAGGCAAACAAACCTTTTGCAGTCATCTGATAAAGATTCTCCTCTCGGTCGATCACCGGCCTCGGAGGAGTCCAGACGGATCGGGGTCTCTTATTGAAGGCACTGGTTTGGCTGTTTTGACCACTAGCGCTCTCCCAAATGAAAGATAAAATCTGAATCAATCCAAGCATATCCAAGCATCCCGCCAGCGAACACGTCGTGGTATTTGCCTTTCGGATCGCCTGCGGATGATTGCATGCATGGTTCGAGTCACGATCGGTTTGTCGCATCGCGCGTCGTCGGTCAAAAGACTTCAAGTGATTCAAGTGTGCATTCTGGGCAAATACCTCCAAATAATACCCCCAAGCCCCCAAGCGGTCTGTGAAGTGGCTTTGATGTTCTTTTTGGAGTCACGTCCAAATGAAGGATGGAGTCGCTAAGCAGCACTAGTTGAAAGAAATAACTAGTGCTTCCTGATCCATTCTCCCTCATGATGAGGACTGATAAAGCGCTTACACTTCTTGGCGCTCCACTTGTGTTTGAGGGAGCCGCCACGCCCTTCCTGTGGTTTAAAAAAAGAAATCCAAAACTACACCTCCCAATCCCAATGGGGGGGAGTCTCAATAGTCCTGATAGTTTTGGATGTTTTTGTGGATTTTGTAGATTGTAGATGTTTTGATATGTTTGGTGTGTGTAATTATGTATATATATACACACGTATGTATATACGTATACATGTATATATATATATATGTGGCTTTGACCAAGGTATAGTTCTGCAAAACAGAGAAAGAACTGAACCTCCTGGTGAGGCACTTCCCGACGAATCTCACCAGGCCCGTCTCCTCTAGGTCCTTCGCCAAAGGTTCACCTCCCTCCGCCGAGTTACTGTAAGACCAACTCGGTTGGAAGCCTGACCCTGCTTCCTGGTGCCGATGCAGTCCGCCCGGAACAAGTGAAAACCCTAAAGCTCGGGGTCTTCACCGCCAAGGTTCATTCATGGCTTGGACATGAAAGACCCCAAAAAGACCCCAAAAAAATCAGACCACACCAGGCTTGGAGCGACAAACGTGTGGACTCATGGTCTTGCGCATGTCTGAAGAGTTATTCCCACTCAAAGCCAACTATATGAATCCGTACTAAACCAGGTTCTATACAAAACCCACCGAGCCAGGTCTTTGTCTTCACTGAACCATCTTTAAACACCGTGCACACTTTGGTGAGAAGTGGCTTCGTGGCTTAAATCGAGCCGAGCTGGCCCGCCCATGAACGTGTTACTGCAAGTTCCTTACATTTTCAGATACGCATACAAGCGACGGGATTTAATCGGTAGGCAGCTTTAGCCATTTTGTCCGAGCCCGATCTTTTTGCACTCACTTACTGTAGTCAAATGTCCATCCTTCAATGCATAAGGTTGTTCACTTGCAACTCAATTTGCGTGGTGACTAGCAAAAGCCTGCCCTTATCGGGCCACCTCAGCTTCAACAAAACCTCTGTCATGCCGTCCATTCCCCTTCCGATTCTACCAGGTGAAGATTTAGCGGGTCCCTCCTTTGTGCCACCAACCAAGCTTCTGGTGTGAAGCCAGACTGAAACGCACCACGGGCATGTGGCCAGGGATGGTTCACAGACGTTTCGCTGCGCAGCTGGAGAAATTGGGCGAAGTGGCCGCTGCAATCAGAGTCCTCAGGGTTTCGAATTGTCTTCTAATCGATTCTCTCTTTTTTGAAAAGAACCACTTGTGTGTGTGTGTGTGACAAGTTCTGTGAGGCATAAAGAGGGTTGAGACTCAACAAATGATGTCCAACATTGATGCCAGTACGAATGTCGTGTCGAATGTCATTTCAATCAACCCTAGTCCTCGCAATCCTTTTCTGCATGGCCGCCAGCAGTCAACCAGTACAGGACTAGCGTAGAAAAGAAGGCATAGCCCATGGCTGGCTTGCTAAAACGAGCCAAATCAACTCAATGGAACAATCTATGGACCAAAAGTTGAAAAAAAAGAAAACATCAGGTGTAGGATGGTGTATAGATTGCCAGGACCGGTTCAGGACCACTTCGCCAGATTAAGGGAAGACTCCTGCAAACCTTGGCACATTGGGCCAAACGACAAAGGTACAACCACAACCTGGGTACAGAAAGTAGAAAGAGTGATGGAAACGGAATCATCTTCGAAGAAAATCTGAGCCGGCAAAACATGTGGTGGTCAGCTTTTAGCGGTTTTGGCACAATCAAGGAGACCTCCAGCCAATGATCGATCTCAGCCTGTTGTCTCGTCATCAAGTCCTACACTGCAGCCTCCAAGCCCAACATTGCTTGGACAAACAAGAACAACCAACGTTTCATTAGTTGCTCAGAGCTTCCCTCAAGTTACAACAGATTGAAACTGCCGTGACCAGAAGAAACACCCAAAGATCTATTAGTCTGAATTGTTGAACACATCAGGCGTTTAACAGATTATATCATGAAACCATTGCGAAACACGAAGTCTTTGCACCTTGCATAGCACCGGACAACTACAACTTGAGATGGTCCCCAGTCCCCACAACCCCCGAGAGGATTGTCACAGGAATGAGCAAGCTTTCTTTTTTCACTTGCAACACTACGTGACCTTGCACAAGTGAATTGTGTGAAGTCCTTCGGCTTCTATATACAATATTAATTTGAAGAATAATGGCACTTAAAACGATAAAGCTTGGAATATTGTGCCCTGCACAAACAATGCAAAGGACCATGCTGTATGGCACTCATTGGTCATTTCAGGAGTTGTAAAACTTGAAACTAAAACTGCCAATCTGCTCAAGCCCCTGACAGCAATGAGTCGAGAGGGGATGGCATGCTTCACAGGAATTCGCACTGCCATCTTCGTTTCAGCCAGTGCTTCATGAGGCCAGCTGAGGTGAGCTAAAACAAGCTTGGAGTCCTGGAGCTCTCATTCAATAAGGATGGTTTTGATGGGCCGCCAAAGCACCCACTTTGGACAAGTCATTTTCGAAGGACCCTTGCGCCTGCACAGGAAATCTCGCCGGCGCAAGAAAAACATGCTACGTGTTGAGCACAAAGTACAGTACCCGATTTGTGAGAGCGCATCCCTTTGGATGTTCTTCTTGTGAGCGCTTGCACTTCGGTTCTGTGGTTTCCTTCTGGCCCTTATACAGTGTTTGACTTACTTCTGTGAGCATATGATTGCCCACGACAATGTGTGTTGATGTTCCACACATCCCTCCCCATACTTCATAAAGAAACCGCACCCACTCAGAGTTACTCAAGACTCCTAGAGATGAACCCTATGCGATAATAACATCTTGTGGGATGTTTTGCAAACCCTTTTTGAGCCAGTGCCCTCTCAAACGAGTTTGGACCAAAGAAACCGATCCCTTTCGGCTTTTGGCGTATCCCTTTCGGCTTTTGGGGTGAATACCGGTACCGTCGCCTGCTCTGAGGCTTCACGCAAGGCCATACGCACGAAGCCGTTGGTGGCTTCGAAGCCACCAGAGCTCGAGCGAACGCGAGCGTCGATCATCTCCTTGTCCTGGCCACGGAGAAAAGACCAGAGATGGCCAATGAAGTGCCACTGGAAATGTCAGGCGTTCAAAAAGGGTACTGCAACTCATATGTATGTCATGTATGTTTCACGAGAGGGCCACCCCTTGGCACAGAATGGGATGTGGTTCAAGCAAAGACAGATATGCAAAGAAGACAAACACACAATTGAATACGAGGCAGCGTACTGCATGAATCAAACAAAGCAAGCCGCAAAAAATGCTGAGATATGTTTCGATTGATGGCAACAAAGCTTTTCACCTGCCCCCAACTCGTGTTTTTATACTCACTGCATCTTACAGCCACCTACGAACCGCTACAACCAAAAGGAACACATTGAAGTATTCGGACTCACTCGATGAGAAACACTTAGCTTAGAATCGCGGTTCCCTCAACTGTACTCTTAACAATATCTGTTTTAAAAAATGAAACAAACAAACAAACTAACTAACTAACTAACTAACTAACAACAACAATGTCAAACAATTCACCGGAAGAAGGTTTCCAAGTGAAATAAATTGAGGAAATATGTCGGCACATCTTGCTCAAGACATCATAATCCAAATTGTCCAAGTACACCGTGCACCAGTCTGTGCTTCTGGAAACTCCCCTCCTCCGCCGAGGAGGCACTCGCATCCTCCAAGCGCAAGGTCGTCAAGCGTTGGGCAACCTGCAGCGCCGTGTCCATTCCGCTGCCATGGCCCAAAACACCGCTGTTGGTGCAAAACACCAGGCCGTGGTAATCACTGTCGCGCTCCTGGGCGTGCCAAAGGCTCATGTCCGCGATTATTTTACTAGCAAAACACTTCATCACATGGAATCATTGGATGGTCTTGGGTAGAACTTGGTAGAACCAAGTTTACATTCCAGCAACCTCTCACAGCCCCCGAACGGCCATATATAATATAGTTGTTTGTCAGACTTTGGGGCTCGGGTTGGCCGCCAACTGCCAAAAATGTGATATCTTTGGGCTGCTTGGCTTTGACATTACATAATGCCGATAAGCATGATGTGTTCTGTTTCGCCGTTTCTGATTGACATACGCCAGCACAGGTCCCGCAAGGCTTTCCAGAAGAGGGCGGGTGGGTGTGTGTGTGTGTGTGTCTGTCTGTCACACGCGCACACGCTCGGGATAATTCGCACGGCTGCGACCTAGGTAACCAAGTTCCTGAGGGAAGCATGTACGGGGGGGGTCTGAGCATCTTGGAGGTCAACACGAAAGGAGGGAGGCCCAAAATTTCCAAGGTCATCGGTATCCGTGATGTGACAAGATGACGACGAGCGCTCACATCTGCCGACCTGAATCATCTTGCAGGTTAGAACATTGACAAACTGCAGGTACAGGAAGGTGATCCGCCTTCTCTTCCCATCCATGACCGTACCTTTGTTGCACACGGTGGGTCATGGATGCCGTGTGCCCTGCTTAGAAACTGAAAAGTTCCCTTTAATTCCAAGGGTTTCACACACACGCCCCCCTGCGTGCGGGGGCCACAAGCCTAAAAACTAAGGTGCGAGCGCGCAAAAAAAAAGGACGAAGACGTGAGAAGAAGACGAAAAAAAACAAGTGTGTGTGGTTTTGTGAAACCTGGGCGACCTCAAACCTGGGTTTTTATCTTGAGTGTTGGCATGAAGCCCAGTGAACCCAAGGCTGTGGCCCCGTCGAACGGGGGTTTGTCTATGTTTCCATGGCTTGGAAATGGAGTAGCCTGCAGCAAGCGTAGGAGGCTTACGCCAAAGTCTTTTTGCCAACACTTGACGAATTATTGTGTTTGAGAAGTAGGCAGCATTAGGTGACTGCAGCGGTCTCGAGTAGGCTTATGCCTTGAGGTGGTCGCAGCGACCAAAGCTTTTCAAGGTCCATTGGGACCTGTTGGAGCGTTAGGTGCACATACATCGTGTACAATGCAAACGAAGCCAGGTCTACCTAGGTTTTCTCAATGAGGTTTGGTTTCGTTGGTTTTCGGCCCTTCCATCTGGTTTCCCCTTTCATCTTTCATCCCCTTTACACCCGTCACAATTCTTTTCTTCCTCTTTCTTTTTATGTTTTTCAGTCCTCATGTCTTGCCATCTCATTCCTTCTTTCTCTTGCGCGCACGCATGCACGTACTGACACAATCGCGGTTCGCCACGCGCCAACCTATGTACCCATATTCCTGAGAAGTCATGTAAGGGGGTCGAAGCGACGACAGGACGAAACAACGCGGCCGCTCACATCTGCAGGATGCATTAGCCCTTTATGGAAAAGTGGAGTCACAGCGTGAGCAACAGTTCAAAAAGAAGCAGGTACGCGGAGTTGATCAGACTTCGTTGGGCAACCAGCTATGCTCACGAGGTTGCCCCCCCGCCAAAAGAAAAACGAATACAAATTCAAAGGAACCTCTGTGACTCCAAGGGTTTCACACACACACACACATTGTCCCCGATCGAAGCTTGGGAGGGCAAGGATATCCTCTCAACCTTTGCGCTGGAAAAAACGGACAGGTCAAGAATGGGTAGCAAATGAAGGATTGGTTCGCGAAGATTGTGAAATCATGGGCCTGTTGTCAAAAGCCACCTCAACTGATTTCAAACCTGTCTGCCAAGCGACAGCGATATGGTGGTTTGACGCAAAAAACCTTCCATATGGGGAGCCCGCGAATTTCCCCAGCATAAGCCCCAGCCAACTTTTTTTCCCGAATGCGTAGCGAAGGGTTCCCGTTTATAGTTGGGGGTCTGGGGGTTGGAGCTGTGTTCGCGTGGCTTGCGTCGTGTCGTCGTCTGTCGTCGTCTGTCGTCGTCTCTCGTCGTTTGTCGTCGTTTGTCGTCGTTTGTCGTCGTCGTCGCGTCTCAAATTTGCTGCCATTGGGGGAAGCTTTTGCAAGTGACTTTGCATGGATGTGTCACGTGTCAGTTTGCGCCGCTAATCCATTGGGATTTGCAGGAGCAGGACATGTCGCGCAAGAAACGTGATGCATTTCGCTGCACAGGCGCAGCGTTTTGTGAGATCCGCAGGTTACGGCGCAGTGCCATTGGGATTAGCGTTTGGAGAGTCGTGTTTTTGGGGTGTTGGATGTGGCCGTGCCATTGGGATTTGCGTTTCAGGGCGTGGCATCGAAGCTCTGTTTTCGTGACAAGTCTCAGCTGAAATGGCGATTTTGATGGATGGGAGTGTGCTCTGAACGGGTCGAAATCATTCCAAACGTGTGGTGTGGTGCAAATTTTGTTGAAGCTCACATGAGATGATATTGTCACTTTTCGTGGCAGGCGCAGGACTTCGTGCGGGCTTTGAAGCGTGGAAGTGCGATTCTCGTGGCAGGCGCAGGGAAACGTGAGGTTGCGAGGTGTGACGGAGGTGACATTTCGTGGCAGGCGCAGTACTCTGTGCGCGTTACACGTGTGGACGCGGACGCGGAAAGATTCGTGGCAGGCGCAGGGAATCGTGAGGTTGTGAGTCGTGGTAGAGGTGAATGTCGCTGTCACATTGGGATTGGCGTGTGAGCGGATGTTGTTTGGAGGGGCTGGAATCGCGAAGCTGCTTGGCAGGGCTGCGTGATGTGTGTGCTCCGATGGGTGTTTCCGCTTGACTTTTGGAGGAAGTCTCGTACGAAACGCTCGTTTTACAGACTTTGACGTGTGAGTTTTTGAGGAAGTCTCGTACGAAACGCTCGTTTTGGAGACTTGACTCGCAACCCTCTGCGGAGATCGCGCGTGTCGAGTGTGCGAAATGCAGGCGAGAGTGCGATTTGTCCCATGCGCACGCAACCCTCTGCAGAGATCGTGCGTGTCGAGTGCGCGAAATGCAGGCGAGAGTGCCGATTTGTCCCATGCGCGCGCAACCCTTTGGGGAGATCGTGCGTGTCGAGTGCGCGAAATGCAGGCGAGAGTGCGATTTGTCCGG